AAAAACAATTCACACGTGATTCTTGAGATTCAATAAAACATGGATATTTTCACAAACAAATAATTCTACTTCTATAAGCTTTTTCCTCAGCCATTGGTCAACAACAAAACAAGATCAAAATGGTCTGCATTTATTTTACCATAACAGACTTCTGAGTTATTTGTATGATGTGTTTTAGATTGTTTATTCACTATATTGTTTTTTTTAAATCACAAAAACACAAAATTATTTTCATAAAGCAACAGGAATAAGTGACAAGTCTTGTCCAACTCAAATAAGAGTTAACTTTAAAATCAAAATGTTTTAAGGTTTATTTCAATCGTTTCCTTTTATAATGAATCATTACACAATTTGTAGGTTCTTTCACAACTTCTCTCTTCATCTTGTACAAAATGGAAACAAGCAATTTGAAAACGTAGATGTGTGATTTTGTTATTATTCTTTTGTCTGGTGTAAGTACTGTAATATATGTGTAATATTGATGTACTGTTTTTTGGGCTCTACTTATGAACTGGAGATTCCCAGGAGGTTCCTTTTTTACAAAGCACTACACATATACAGTATAAAGTACTGTACATAGACTTTTATAAATGTTATGTAAATAAAGATAATTTAATTTAATTCTAATTGCATCATCGGGACTCTCTAATCCTTAGCAAAGTGCAATGTTGGTCAAAACTTTTTCACATTTGACAACTGAAGAACTGATCTAACCACTGCTTCACTAGTGCTGTATGGAATTCTGTGATCAAAGATAGAGTAGCATCAATATATCAATCAATCAATCAATCAATCAATCAATCCTTTATTATCTCACACAGATGGAGAAATTCAGTTCGATGAATAAACATCAAGTAAGTATATATAATATATAATATATAATAACTACAGTAAGTTTACTTTTGAATGCGCTGTAAAAGACAGAAAGTCCTAAGTAGCCCTATTTTTCCTGCTTGTTTCTACCTGAGATGTTGCTGCAGTACAGTGATCATGGTTTTGCACTGGTCCAGACTGGTCCAGACTGTTTTTATATTGAATTAGTCAGACAATACCTGAGTATTTATTTTATTTTATTTAATAGTTTCTGCCGCTTTGCTCCAGCAATTATATGTTTATAGTTTATAGCGAAATGATCAACCCAACTCTAACCTTAACTAAATGAATTGAACAAATGTGGAATACATTTTGCTTTGAGCTTGTCTCATCAATTCTTGAACATTTTGATGAACATGTTTTTTCCTGAAGCTGGATATCAAAGGCACCGACTCCCTATACTCCAGTGTTGTGCTTCTTTGTGTGAAATTGGAGTCTATTACAGACTTATGTAGTGCTATAGGAAGACAAACAGCACAGTGTGTCTGTTGCCAACTGCTTAAACTGAAATGACACTGACAGCTGCTGTGGGTTCAGCCTCTCACTATGCCTCTGCCTGCGCACAGCAATGCATAAATAAGGCACGCAACTAAATGTGCTATGATTACTCCTACAAATGTCAGTCCTAATTACTAACTCAATTACACAACTGCTTTTGTTTGAAACCATTTCAACAGCCTGTTTTGCCAAAGTGAGATGTTTAGTTTCCTAATGTCTGTAAAGGCTTTTGACTCGAGGGCGAACACGCTACGACAGTGTTGAGTCCAGTGGTAAGAGTGATGAGTAACAACAGTTATGTCTGTAATTATCTACACATTTCAACAGTTGTTCAGGAGATTAGATAGAAATATATACAACCTTTCTGAGTCAGGAAGTGAATATTACAACGTTTATGGGTCAAATTAAATTGTGACGCTTGTACTACACAGCAAAAAAATCCAGGGTCCCATTCCACCTCCAGGTCTTTCTATGTGGAGTTTGCATGTTCTACCTGTGTCTGTGTAGGTTTTCCCTGGGTCCTCCAGTTTCCACTACACCACAATAACATGTACAATATAGCACCCATTACACCCTCCCCAACCCTACTCCTGCCTCCTCTCTCTGGGGCCAGGACTCACCTGAATAACAGATATATTCTCATTCTTCCTCATGAAAAAGTTAAAAAGACTACACTAGATTTAGGTGAAAAGAAAGATAAAAGCCTCGTCTGAATTGCTGCTTTTGTTGAAAACTCAGTTCAACCTTTAAGAGAAGGGCAACTTTTTTTAAAGAACAAATATGATGCATTTTTTTTGTTCTTTTAAATAATAATGAGACCATTTACTTAAGCTATTTACATCAGTTCATGTTTTAGAATGTAAAATGATATCTTGCATATAAAATATATGGTGAAACAAGTATGAACGGTGAAAAATGTTTTCTGCCTGTAACTCCCAATGGTACCACCAGAGGAAGGGGTTTCATTTGTATTGTTTGGTTTTTTCAATTTTGAAATTTACCAGCTACAAATACAGACATGACATTGTAAAAGAAAGGTATTTTCACCTCAGAAAGTGTCAAAGCTTTTTTGCGACAATACTTTTGTTTTAAAAGGCAGAAAACAATTCTGAGCGTGATGTCATAGTGGTACAATGACATCATACTTTTAAATACTACTAAAGATAATAATAATAATAATAATAATAATAATAACAATAATAATAATAATAATAATAATAACAATAATAATAATAATGATAATAATAATGATAATGATAATAATGGTAATAATAATGATAATGATAATAATGATAATGATAATGATAATGATAATGATAATAATGATGATAATAATAATAATAAAAAAAAAATAAAAAAAAAAACCTGTAAGAGTTTTATATTCTGCACAAATAGACAAAGCTCTTTCACAGTCTGGTCTTTTGTCGGTGTCTTGTCTCGAAGTCTCTCTCTCTTCGGAATACCTGTGTTTTGAGCCACAGAGAGCCATAGATCTTCATCCACTTCTCTGACAGACTGTCTGAAATAGCAGGAGATCAAAGCCCAGCGTGTGAATGTAGTGAATGTGTGAGCCGGACTCTGAGGTTACCAATGCAACCCTTAAACCCGAAGGTTACTTGGGACAGGAGGGATTGGAGAACAAAAGAACTGCTAAGCCACTAATGAATTTCAAGAGAAGGGCATGCTGAACTTGGTCAAATGCTAAAAATATGTGTTTTATTGCGCTTTTATTGAACCTATCACATGTCCAAGACGTGTGAAGACTGATCCCTATGAAGAGGCTGTAACATGTTTTCATTTGACATCTTGCAAACTAGATATCAGCCTTGTATGTGCAGATGTTTGTTTATACTGCATCCCAGGAACATTCAGAAGAATCTAGTTACACTTTTAACGGAAGGAAGCACATCACCCCTGTTTTAGCATTCCTTCACCGGCTCCCAGTGCCTTTTTTAATACATTTTGAGATGCATTTTAAAGCTTGTTTAGGTCTGGCACAAAGCAAAATTATTGAACTTTTAGCCCCCTATGAGCCCCCACAGCTTCAGATCCATGGGCAGGTCCCTGTTGGCTGTCTCAAGATCAAGGCTCCGGACGAAGGGTGATCGAAGGACCTCCTTGAAGAAAAAAGGCAAGCATCACCAGTATCCTCTTTTAAATCACTTCTTAAAACCCACTTTTACCGAATGGCCTTCCTTTAACTTTACATGCTGAATTTTACTTTATGTTCCGCATTTCATTTGTTTTGTCTTTTTTATTGTGTGCCCTCTGCCTGGTTTATTCTCCAATATTTCTGTTTGAGATTCTGTGATTTTTCTTATTGCTTTATGTTGATTGTGCAACAAACACAGCAAATAGATATGTATTATTATTATTATTGTTATGGCGTCTTGTTAAATTCCTAATTCTACACATCAGGGTCAGGAATCTGGAACACAAAACCAATTCAATGTGAGAATGGCACGCAGCAATGCAGGATTTACTACAAGGGCCAACACAAAAGTTGAAAACCTCAGAAGATATTTGCATTTTCGGAAAGTCTTTTGATTAACATGTAAAGCGGCGGATGTGCATGCCATGGAAACATAGACGCCTGACTGTAATAAAGGCTCTCTTATTGACTGTACAAAAGAGGAGGCCTCAAGAGTGTCACTGCAGTGAATTTAGATCTGCTCAGTCCCGAATCCACGACTAATAATAACTTCGTATTCACTGAGACAGTCTGCTTCTCACAAATCTGTGTTCAGAAAAAACCCAGTGACAAATCACCAACATCTATATAAGTTCAACTGGAGGGTCTATTTTCAACTATATATTGTAAGTCTGTGTTTTTCAACCAGTGCATTCTTTGTGCGTAAAATACACAGTAGAAATCTATAGGGCTATAAAACAATACATTGAATCTTCATTTTGTTTTGACAACAGAGCGTTTGGTGGCTCTTGGCTAAAAAAGTAGTCCCTTTCCTCAAACATTTTCTTGAGAGACAAAATACGAAATGTTCTAACATGTTTTGAGTGAGTGATTGTTCTGACCATGGTAAAAGCAGATCAGACACCAAACAACTTGACCAAGCCTGGTTCACTCGTTTGGTGGTTTTACATCCACAAATAAAGCAGTTTTTCCCCAAACGAACCAGAATTGATCCAGACCAACTAACGTGAACATAGGGTCATGTGTAAGACAGTGGCGCGCTGTGACTGTGGCAGTTTAGAAAATGATATAGAATTATAAATATATGATTGAAGCCACTATCCAGAAACAATATTAATATCAAAGCTCTTTTTTCAGCATCGTAAACCTCTCTTCTATCTTTGGACGTTCCTGCTCTGTTATGGCTGGGGATGAGGGCAGTCTATTAAACTACACATTCATCCCAAAAGAGGAAAAACATTTTACTTTAGGATATCTCTGCTAATACTGTAATTGTATTGTAGTCAATGAGATACATTTGAAAACTAATCCTAACCCTAACATTACTATAAAATAGAGAGCTTTTTCCTATAGAGGCTCAATCATTAGAAACAAGTAAAAAAATTAAAGAAATACATAACTTTTTAAGCCTTAAACCCTCGTTCTCCTCTACTTCCATGTCTCCCATTTGCACAAATAAGTGCTAAATGCTCCACAAATGAAGTTTACTCTTGGGGCTGCTGGTGCGGAGACTGTCTCTTGTCTGCACCCCCGACAGCTGCAGCCATCTCTCTTCATCCTACACCCGGCTTCAGTGCCCAGTGAGTGACAGCACATGTGCGGGGGTCCAGGGGAGGGCGGCCTCTGAAATTCAAGCCCCTGTTTGACTCTTAGACATGGACCACGGACAGGGAGGAGCTGGGGGTCCGGATCAGGGACATCTCACACAGACGGCATCAGTGCAAAGAGGGGGAGGTAGGAGAAGAGGTTTGTGAGTGAAGGAAAAGTTTGGGAGCCGTGGATTGTCATCACAGGCAGTTGTTGAGGATGGAGGGGCGGATGTTGTTGTTGTTGGTGCTTGGGAGTCTAATTAGTCAGGTAAGGAAATTTCAAATTGAGTGAAAGTTGCTAAATATTGTGTTATGATTGATTGACGAAAGCGTTAATTTGTGTTTTTGTAAAATGTCTGTCAGAGTGTTGGCGGAAAAGTTGTTTTAGTCTCTGCTATCAATTACACACTGACACTTCTTATTACAATATGACACCTTTGGCGTTCCCCACAATTGTATTTTCTCTAAGGGGCTTGGCAGAAACTGGCAGGTTTGTTGTGGCTGAGATAATAACTATATACTGTGCTGCTATAATAACTATATATTATGTTTAGCATTGAAAGTTCCAGCTAATGATTGGCAGTCTAGCTGACATAAAAGCGCTATTTTGACTTAAATGCTGATGTGGTAAACATTTTAAGTTATGGAAATAAATAAGGTGAAAGATTAGTAAACGTTTTCTGTTTTTTGTTTGTCTGGTTAAAGTACTGATTATGCTAATACAAATGTCTATATATTCAACACAATCCATACAACCTATTTTGTATTATGCTTCTTGGTTTTTTATGTACATGTTTAAATGAGCACCGATTTTTTACATTTTAGTTGCAATATTTCCTGGTATGGTTGGCATTGATGTTTTCCATTGTGGTCCTAAATCCTACAGTAAATAAATAGATAAATATAAATTCAACCTTCCTCCCTGGAGTTGCCTTTGCCTGCCAGGTCTGGTCCAGTCTGCATCTTTGCCAATAGACTATTTGATCCTCACTTCCTGTCCCATATGTGCTTAGTTACCACTGACCTTTCTCCACTCATCGCCCTGATATACAATTTATGTTTCTACCTGAGTGATGCCCTGATGGAGTGATCTTGGTTTTTAACAGAAGCATGTAAACTGGCTCACAGCAATCAGCGCTCTGGGTTCATCCAAACATTATAGGATCCCGCGTGGAGACTGGCTGATGAAGTGATTTGAGGAGGACCAGACTCCAGATGTGCTCGAAGGGTCCGAGTCGTCATTAGCCTCTGTCAGCAGACACCGTTAAGAGATGTGCACGGGATGGGAACAGAAACTGACACAGGTCTTTCACTTTAGAGAAACAAAAAGAGGTTCTGGTCAGGGCTTCTGAGTGAAAGATCAGTCGCTAACCCACACAAGAAGACAGGAAGGGGTCAGTTTGGTGGCACTCTATGTCCAAACTGAGACTGGGTCATTGTGTATGTCCCTATATGTGACTTTCTAACACAAACTTGTTATTGAGGTACTTTAGCAGTGTCATTCAGCCAACTTCCGTTCCACCAATTTAGTCATGCTATACCCTGTTGTAAAGCTCAGCCCCTTTGGAATCCAGATGTTCAATTCAATTTCCTTCAATGTATTCTTGCATAGCCCTAAATCCCAACAGTAGTTATCACGGAGGATTTACACAACCGTTGAATTGGCGTACACAGATCCAAGAATCAAACTGTTCAAAGACAAGATATAAAACAGAAAACACATTGGTATTGGTCCATAAGTGTTGATAAATGACTTTATCTGTACATCTTTATATGTATACTGATGTTTGTTTTTGATTGTGTCACATATAGTGGAGCTGTGGAGGGACTCAACATGTTCTTAATACCCCATGTTAAAGATAATAACAACCCAAATCCAGTCAGAAAAGTTTTTAAATCCGGCTGTTGTCGGCTGAATTTTTTTGAGAACCCGTTGGAGCACACACAAATGGCTGGAAACTGAGACATTGTAGTTTTTGTCCTTGATGACTCATTTACTCTAATTATAAGTGGGAATAACCAACACACAGACATATATCAAACCTCAAAGTCTGCCTACGTGTTCCATGGTAGATATAAAGGAGGGTTAAAGCTGATGGGGATATGATCTATTGAACTGTAGAGAGCATTTTGTGTTTTAACAATTCCCATTTCACAGCTGAGGAACATTTATCTGAAAATGAAATGCATGGGCCTGTAATGAGGCAAAACCATATATTTTTTACCTTTTTGCTAATCTTTGGACTATAATTTATTGGTGAATTCAATTTGGTCCATGTTTTTTCAATTTGACTCTAAAAAAGAGGGAACATTTTCCAGAAGTTTGATAGTTATATTGTATCAATGGATAGTAGCATAATCCATGTAGGTTTTCCCTCACTGATCTTGTGCACAAATATTTCCCCTGAGTTATTAGTTGTGGATAAATCAAGAATAAACACTACACTTGGGGAGTTAGTCTACAAGTATTAGAGTATCAAATGGAAATCCTAGACAGTTAGCCCAGGTAGGTAGTGCTGTTTAACAATTTCTTAAGAAAAAAGTCAAACTGAAAGTGTGTCATGAGGCGGGAGGTGGGAGGGCTGTGTGGGGTTCAGGTTCTGCAGTAAAGTTTCAACTCTGATTTGTGAGGCTGCTGTTTTTAACTGGCAACACAGAGTCACGAGAGCTACACACGTATGAGAGACGACTTAAACTTAGATTTACATGTTTGGAAATATGTAATGAGCAAAAATCTTAGCTTGAAACATTCTCAGCTATTATAGAACAACTCATTGATTCATGGATAGGAATATTCACTCAAATAATTATTTAAAAAAGATAAATTTTAATTAAAGCTGGGGTACCATTCCCTTACCTTCCATCCTAAAACAAATTAACTATGTAATAAAATTCTAAAACCAGTTCTATCACTAGTTTTCACACGCAAGTATTTTTTTTACCTCTGTCATATCTTTAGATCAGTTTTTCAGACACAATTGTGAGGGAGAACCACCCTCACCCAGTCAATCAGCTCTCAGCCCAAAGCTTCAAACAGTGACTCACAGGGCCAGTATGCAAAGGATGACATGTTTGACTTCAAAGATGAGGACAGCAAGATTTGTCCACTAATTTACTTTTAAGAAACTCTTTTTGTTGGAACATAAAAAAATAATTTACAAAAATTGTATTTATGAGAGAAAAGTTGGGTACCCCATGAAGCCGAACCAAACTGAGAGAATATTAAAATTACTCAACAATAAATGAAATGAATAATGTAGATGATAAGCAGCTGGCACCTGTTGGCTTCACTCTTTTAATTATGAGGAGTTGTTCTTGTTGTTTTGAATGCCGTGCTTAGGCCGTGTGTACGCCGAGCGTGGGCCACAGACACAGCTGTTCCCAGATGCATACGTGATGCCATTTGTCCTGCTCTGTAATCCCCTCGGTGGAGAGAGCAGTGGGCGCTCCTGGACCATGAAATCGGGCACAAATCAGGAGAGTGTTGCAGTGGCCAGCTGGTGCTGAGATCTCACTCATCGGAAACAATCAGTCATAGGATTTTAGAGGCAGACTCGTAGGACCTGTGCGGTACCTGTGGAGTCTATGAGGCCACGACATATGGTCACATCACACAGACACTTTAACAAGTCCACTCTTTGCCTTATTATTTTTATAGACTGCAGCAGTGGAAGAGGGAGTGGTGACATTTGTTGATAGTATTCATGGACAGACATGTGCCTAGATTGTGGTTCCGTCTGTGGATATGGCCATTTGGTGCCTCCAGTGAATCGTTCCTTTGATCTATGAAAAACATATGGTGAGGTTTGTCAGAATGTTAGAATTAGTTTTTTTATTTGAATGGAACAAATCATTATATTGATGTTGTATGACTGAGATGAGTCAGTAGATGTGTGTGACCCTCGGCCCACAGCAACAGACAAATACTTAAGTCAGTGCTAACATGATACAATACAATACAGTACAATTTATTCTTGTATAGCCCTAAATCACAACAGCAGTCATCTCAGCGGAATTAACAAAACCATTGAAATCACCAACACAGATCAGAGAATCAACAGTTAAAACGCATAAAGAATATAAAACACATGTTGAAAAATGTCCATACATGTTTTAGAATGTTAAAGTGTCCTGGATCATCACCACAGTCCTTTTTGTTGGACAGTAACTGCCCAACAGACCCTCCTGCATCCTCCCGGACGGACGGGCTATAGATCCAGGACCTAAGCTACAGAACGTGGACCAGTGGCCGTTGAACGTGGACAGGTCCGGTGCATGACCTCATGTTTGTGTGAAAGTGTGACGGAGTCATTGCTCTCCCCCTGTCACTAATGCTCTGGTTGTGCGCGCACTCTGGCCATACTCCCCGGTGCGAGACGCGCGCTCCCGCGCAGAGTTTACACACCACAATTAAGCATGTTGTACTCACCGGTCCCGCTACATAATCGCAGGTCTCCACACATCCCCTCGTTTTCTCCCCTCCATAAACCACACGGTAGCAGCATCCATGGCTCGCTGCAGCTCGGGGTGCACACCGGGTTCGCGCGCGCGCCTGTTCATGCTCTCCTCCCTCCGCGTACGTAGTACCAGGTGACCGGGCAAACCGAGCGCATCTTTGGCTATGCCATTTATACTGGGGTTACGTGCGCTTTCACGCTTGGTTTGTTTAATATTCCTTTGTTTAATGATATCTCCCATATCCATGGAAGGGAATTAAAGGGGAGGTATGTTGAAAGAATAGTATTGATAATTTGAGAGGAGTTTCAACCAGAAAGGGTTGTTTTGTAAAATTATATTAACTATTTTGTGTAACGCCCATGGGAGGGGCCTGGGGCATAAGAGGGGAGCTGTTTGGGCTGTACAGGGAGTCTTTTGCCTGGTTGCAGAGAGGGCAACATCGGGCTATTGTGGCATCCTGGCATCCTGAAAGGTTGGGTACACAACTTATGTACATTTGTAAATATGTACATATATTGTTTTTTCACATGTTTGTAAATAGCACTGGGGAAATAAACTGGAGAAACAGTTTTTTTTGACTGGCCATTGGTTTTTTGATAAGTGTTCCCACAACAGAAAGTAAAGTATAGAGATCAGGATGTGCTATACATGTGGTTTAAATTATTGTCACGGATCAGATGGAAAATCATTGAGTCTGTATGAGTCCCCGAGTTTATAGAATGCCAAAAACTTTGAAAGATAAGTGAAAATCCAGACATTTTGTGTCCAGTACTTACATTTATGTGCAACACATGAACAATGCATGACACAATGTTCATGGCTTCCATTAAAGCTCACCATTGTAAATCTAACATTGAAGACAGAGCACTTATGCTCTGTGCTTCAGTTTCACAGCATCACCTTCTTAAAATAAGTAAACAGTTGTTGTCTCACGAGTGCTTTCTGCTGGATCTTCAAACGACCTCTGTGTAGTTTGTGAGGGTCTGAGGTGAAAGGTGAACCGTTGTAAAAGGATCTGGGAAAAGCACCAAAAACAGTCCAATCTGTGTGTGGCGTCCCTCCTGCTGTCAGAGAATCGTCTCATTGATCTAATTGGTAACTCGATACTTTCTAGAGTTGCAGCGTCCTGCCTGGTAAAAGCATTATAGTTGGTCTCACTGAAGGCTTTGGTGGAGCCGCCAGCGTGTGTCTGTGAGGCGCTGACAACCAGGGCATAAGAACATGTGTGAAGTTACAAATATGACTTATTTCTTGTTTGCAATAGTTTTTTTAGGTAATTTTTTTATATTGCTTCAGGGCAGAGGAATGTGAAAGCAGAAGGGTTGTTTTAAAATGTGACAAAAGTAGAAAGTGCTACATTTGGAAACTGGAAAAAGGTGTTAATTGATTTTGAGTTAATGCAGGACTGCGGAAATAAGGGATTTAATAATAAGCAAATTCAAAAACTAAATCCAGAGTAAATATGCAAAAAGTAATCAAACAGGGGATGAAGACAAGACCTAAAAGTTCAAAATGACAATGACGGACACATGAGGACAGGGGCAGAGAGAGCGGTTAACAAATTACAAAATAAAACTGTAAATAAACCTAAACCATGACCACACTTGATCCTGATCTGATGTGACCTATTATTGTGTGATTCTCTGCTTTGTTGTTCAATGGAACTCGATGCTCACACAGCTGCTTTTCCAGTAATTTTGCAGATAGAGCACCTTCAAGTTGCTGTGTACGGATTACAATGACTAACCTACTAAAGCGGTAATTTGTGTGTGTCAACATCTCAGTGTGAGTAAAAGATGGTTCCTACACAAGTCATAATTTAAAATAGGTTTTAAAAAAGAGCCTGGTCTAAGATTAGCCGACCCTCGGACTCGACTTGCAGATGCCAGGCGTAGCTGCCATTCCTTCCTGTACTGTCCAGCAGCGTGCCAAAGGAAGTGTACCGTCACACCCCAGGGAACAGGCAAGGCTTCAGTCAGACCTGAAACTAAATCAACTGTTCATAATATGCACATCCCAAAGAGGCTGCATCCACAAGCTCCCAGTTAAAGCCACTGTCTGGTGAAAGGGCCATTACAGTTGTAATGTGACAGAAAAACAGTGGTAAAAGTGAGAGGATGATTGCAAGCAAAATTCATTCCATGTGATGGTGAGAAGATACTTATGTAGTCACAGCTGCCCTGGGGCAGACTGACAGAAATTAAGCTGTCGATCTGAGCTATTGACCCCTCTGTTCAACACCAACCATGCACAAGCACTCCAGACTGTTACTAGGCAATGTGGGTGAAGTGTCTTACTTCGAAGTTGACAAGATTTCGGAACAGTTAAATAATCCTTGTTTAAACTCTGCAAAATAGTTTTGCAATTAACTAATCTGATGACAGTATTTCCAGAGCAATGTGTGGCACTTCAGAGCAATGTGTGGAACTTCAGAGCAATGTGTGGCACTTGTTAGTGAAGTGACTTCAGATTTGGACCTGGGTTACACCTACACATATGAATGGTAAAGTATAGAAAACTGGATAAATTGAGCAGCTCTGTGAAAGGGCCTGGCTGGTCAGCAAGGTGACCAAGGCTAAATGGTGCTGACAAATGTGGTGACTGGACAGTGTGGTAGTGATAATAGATTTTTATAGGCACAAGGTTCAGTCATTGGATTTTCATAGACAGTAAATAATGCTTTAGTCTCCGGCTGTTATTATACGTATATTTTAATTGTCTCATTGGAGCGAGTTTAACAGTTTACCTGTGGCATCCATTGTAACTAGGTCCAGGCTGTAAACTAGAAAGTCTTTTATTGTGATATTTTTTTCCCAAGAAAAATTAGCATAGTCAGTCAAGCGCGTGGGAGGCGACTGACAGGTTGCCGAAAGTTATGGCAGCCTATTTGCATAATTGCATTTCATTATGAGCAAAGTTTTCTTGATCTTATCAAACAGGTAACTTCCTGATATGTATATATTATTATTTGGTACAAATCAAAGAAGATTTACAACTTAATAATATATGGATGAACACCATGGGAATGGTGTTTTTTATGGAAAATCCCTCTTTTAAATTCAGTGCTGTAATAAAACAGTTCATTCATCTGCATCCGGTACTGTGCTGTAGTAAGTGTGACAAATAAAGACAGATCTTTTTGGCAAGGGAACACTTCCTCTGTGTTTCTATGGATCTCCTCTGCTGCTTAAACCTATGAGAAAATGTGCTGAATCAATTCCAATCCGAGAGAGAGGACGCAGAGGAAGTATTTTAATGTGTATGTTATAGGCCTAAACATATGTGTGGGTGTTTAATGTTGAGCGCGTTGAAGATGTCAGCATGTGTGCGAGATGCATGTATCAGTGGAATTCCTTCAGTGTTGCAAATCCGTAAGGTGACCCCAAAGTCCCAGTCAGGTGCAGAAGGCCGAACATAAGGGGGAATTTGTGTTGGTGCGGGGGAATGCGGGTGGGAAAGCACAGTATCTAAATCCATGGACGACAGCTGCAGCAAAGAATTTCTCACATGTGAGTCTGTGTGTGGGTGTGTACAGGCTTGTGAACTGATTGTGGTTGTTTGTGTTTCCCTGTGTTGAGATTAAAACGTCTGCGGTTCAAAAGAAGCCGACCAAGAGGTGTATCGGCAAATGAAACCCTAGGAGCTGGACCTGCGTGCCTCTCCTGCTCTCGACAATCCCATAGATTCCACATTAGAGACAGGCCGAGGCTCCAACTGCTCCCATATGCCCATAGTGAGCTCAGCAGCCATGACTCCTGACATGGTTTTCAACAGCTGCACAATTTTATAATGACATAATTTATATCTTTCATGAGAAAATCTATGCTGGATTTTAAATTTAGATTACATGTCATCTGCTTCACTGAGCATATCCAAGGGACTCAATGCTATACCTGTCTGTCAGCTGTTCAGCACACATAATTATACTGTACATTTCCTGAAACTCTAATAACTTATATGTTTTTATTTTTTCTTTAGGCTTGGACCTCATCACAGACTCACCAAAAATACTCAGAGCTTCATACGATCCACCCATGGAGAAGAAACAGCAGTGGGAGAGTAAAACGAGACTGGATCATCCCTCCAATAAGAGTCCTGGAAAACAGCAAACAGGTTCCTGAAGATCTCGTCCAGGTACAAAAGTCAAATTATATCAGCTTGAATGCTCATTTGGAGAGGCTGCTACACTAGTCTAAACTACATGGAAATGAATCTTGAAATCTGCTTTAGATACAATCTTTTTGGTTCTGGCAATGTTATGGTAAATCATGGTAAAAAGCCCCTAATGTTACTGATCTGATGTGGCTGTTAGAATTGTATTACTCCAAGACTTCTGGCCTGATTTCACGGTTCCTGTTTCTCGGTACAAAACAGAATTATTTCAGTTTTTGTCAAAGTTTGGCTGGAGAAAGTTGTTTTCCATCCACAAGGAGAGAGCGGCAGTGAGACATAGATCGAAGTTTCATCTGCGTTGTTGTGACAAGCCACTTATAACTGACCTAACAGCAGTATGTACAGTAGAGATTGAACAGAATAGGAACCAGGATTGACCCCTGTGGCACAGGTCAATATGCCATATGATCCAAGAAACTGTTACCAATCTCAACAAAGTACTTCCTGTCTTCTAGATTGGACTAAAACCAAATTAGGGTAAACTAGTCTTGTGGTCGACAGTGTCAAAAGCAGCAGTCAGATCTATCAGGAATAAGACGTTTCCTGCGTCAGTGTTCAGGCGGATGTCATTTTTTAAAAGTGTGGCCTCATTGAAATTTTCCCGCTGTGAGACGAATAAAGGATCTCTTAATCTTAATTGCTGTGGTGTGGGTCTAAAGCCTGACTGGAACAACTCAAGTTAGGAAAATAAATAAATTATGTAAATTAGGGGACATTTGGTAAGCTGTTGGGACAACAATTATAGATATATAGGGGGTGACAGTAGCTCAGTTGGTAGAGCATTGGCCTTTGAGCCAGAGGGTCATGGGTTCGATCCCGACTTTCACCATCGACTCCCACTGTCTGCTGTTGTTGTGTCCTTGGTAAGACCAGTCTGGGAACACCAGAGGTTAAGTGAGTGTCCAAAAGACGCTATTCCATCCATCCATCCATCCATCCATCCATCCATCCATTTTCTACCCTTTAATCCATTTCTGGGTCAGGGAGGTGGCAATCAGAGATGCCACCCAAGTCTCATAGCACCAGCCCCTCACTGACCCTCTGCAGGTGGTGAGTCCACAGGAGGACGGCTGCTCTTGAGGACGCTATTGATGCATTATAATTATATATAAAGGCTTATAATTGTGGAAGTTTGCTTCAATGGCAACTGAAGGGTTTATTAATATGTTAACTGTTTTATACAGACCATGTAAGTCGTTCCTGCTTCCTTCAATAATGACCTCAATGAGGGATAAACTCTTCACTTTAACTTCATCTGGGTCAACTTCATTATATTAGTAATATAACTATTGTTGACTATTGTAATATATTGAATGAATGCAAATGTATTAAATAGTTGTTAACCTAATATTGCTTCCTCACAATGTAGATCTGTTATTAATTTGAGTAGCCTATAGTATGTTGAAATGTCAAACAAAAACAGCAGATTGTAGTTAAAACGCTGAACTGGTTGGAAGTGACATACAGTAAGCGTCTGTGATATATTGCCTTGTAAATTCTCTGGTGAGCACTTGGTTTGTGTATGTTTTAAGTTTTGGTTCAGTAGTGGTTCACATATTATACACCTGAGACAGTACGTCAAAGCCATGGGCTGCAAAATGTATACGTTTAGTTTTTTGAGATTATAAGTACATTTATATTGCTCTTTCCTGCCTTAAATCATGGCCTCTATAGGCTTCAACTCCTGTCCCAAAGCCTGGCACTGTCAACACTCACATCTGGTGTTACGACACATGGTTTTCATTGCTTCTTCCCAAGCGGATGCAATGTCCACCATTCAATTATTCTATCGTTTTTAGATCAAATCGGACAAAATATTCACCGGCGAGGTCATCTACAAGCTGGAAGGATCTGGAGTGGACCAAGAACCCAAAAACTTCTTTGAGATTGACGACAAAACTGGTGTCATCCGGAGCAAGCGGCCCCTGGACCGAGAGAAACACAGAAGCTTTACAGTAAGAGATTATCCACGCCGTTTTAAATCACTCAAACATTTGACAAGTGCAGGTGAAGCATGCACTGTATTAAAGCAAGAATGTATTGAATAAGTCTATACATGTGTTTCAAAGCTTGTTTTAGCCTCTGTACATACATCAGTGTCTAGGACAGCGGCAAACAGCCAGAGGTCAGACTCTAAGGGCCCTAATGAGCACCCAGGGACAAACGTCAGGATGTCAAACCAGATGACCAGTGATGCAACTTGCAATAATGAACCAAACATCCTCCACGTTTTTCTTTCCCACATGTGTTACGCACTTGTCTGCAAACAGGGGGCGACCCTTTGGCTTTCTTGCTAGTTTTTTGGGCACAAGATTTATCCCAGAGAAAACCAAAAACAAGCATTAGAGAATTGCTGAAGTGGTTTTAAATTGGAAGCATGTGTATGTTGTTTGTTTCAGCTCAAAGCGTTTGCGTTGTCCCCCAGTGGAGAAAGACTGGAGAATCCCACCACTATTGAGATAATGGTGCTGGATCAGAATGACAACAGACCGGCATTCACTAAAAGACTGTTTGAGGGGTCTGTTCCGGAGTTCTCAGTTCCAGGTATGTGTCGTTTTTACTCATCTGCTGTATTGTAAATAATATAATATAATAATATAATAAGTGTTTTGTTTTTTTGAGAACATTCCAGTACGTCTATTGGCATGTATTTTAGACTCTATACGTCTATTTCAGATGATACCAAAATTGGCCTCAGAACCTCTCTTTAGAATTTATTTTGAGAAATTCATGTTTTTCCCTTAGGATTGAAACTAAATGTGTACATGTCACACAGCAAAAACGTTTTTGTGGACCCAGTTTGAAAAAAAGTCCACTGGAATTGAAATTCCGTTGAAAAAAGATGCTTAAAATATGTTTTTAAATCCATCAAAAAGCAAATAAAAGAGACAAAATCCCCATTCCTGCCAGCATGCAACCCACCCCCCCTTTTGCACCCACCGACATACACATACATGATTTAAGTTGCTAAAATAAGAATATTGTTATTTGAACCAAACAGATGCAGTGAACATATTTCTTTATTTCTTTATTTATTTTTTTATTCTAAGATCTATATGTCTCCATTGTGAGATTAATAAAGTATCTTATCTTTAATTTAGCTCTTATTTGCGTTGCTGCTTGGCATTACAGTATATGCCGATGGTGAATCCCTGCACTTTCCAATTTAGACTCACTGCAAAAAATATAACCTTATTTTCCAAATCTTTGCAGTGCTAAGACCATTTATCCTTGACCCTGTTCTTTTCCCAGAATAAATACGCAGAATGCATTAATAGTGTGTAACGTATTTACAGGGACGTCAGTGATGTCCGTTTCCGCTGAAGATGCAGATGACCCCATGACTGAAAACGCAATGTTGAGCTACACAATTCTCTCCCAAGAAAGTGTCCCAGCCGACGCCGTCACCAAGATCATGTTTGGGATCAACAACGAGACCGGAGCCATTTACACCCGAGACGTGGGCTTGGACAGAGAGGTACTTACATCCTGATAATTGTTAAAGGGACTATATACCATAATTTACATTTTATGAAACAAGAGTTGTAGGTGCAGCACAGGGACAAAAGTAACACATTTAAACATACAAGTCTGCCAGCTTTATGTTTATAAAGAAATAAAAGTAAGATAGAAGTCAATGGGTTTGGTCCAGTCTTCTGTCTCCTCAGGTTTCAATTCTTGTCTCGGGACCACCAGCTGCGATCACATACAGTATACTTTGATACAAAACATATTTATTTTCCAGGTGGGCCTTAAGTTAAAGGGTAGTCGATACAAAAGGTACCAAACCACTGGTCTCACTGAATCAACCTGCTAATCTGAAAATGAATAATACCATTTTTATTGTGCTTTATAATTGACAAGACTGTTTCTTCATTAAACATGCCCCATTTACGCTTCATGGATACTTTACAGGTTTCGTAGCTTCCCGCTGCTTTAATTACAAATTGCTTTCTGTTTCAGGTTGTCAAAAGTTTCAAGCTGAAACTGCAGGTGGCAGATATGTCGGGCATGGGGCTGACAGGTGAAGGTGTGGCTGTCATTCACGTGTCTGATATCAACAATCACGCCCCTCAGTTCAGCCCCACCAAGGTCAGTGTCACACAAAGCATTATCAACGCAATCCTGATGTTTAAAATGCCAAGAAGATGTAGTTTTTAACAGAAAATTAATATACTAGGTTTTTATTTTAGTTGCAATATAGATACAAATCTTTTCAAAGCTTCTAGTTTTGTCCTTGCACATTAAAAATAATTAAACATGAAGTACCATATGTTAACCTCTTAACCGTGTCACAATGCCAATATCAGGACATTCTGACCCAAACAGCACAAACATGTAACCCCGCCCCATCTGTCAAAATGATCAATTTTCTAATTTTTTACCCAACACAAACATATTGCCTTTTCTGAAATCTCCTGCTGTGTTTCAACTATGTGCTGAAAATTAGACAAGATCTAAAAATTATGACCTATTTCCACCACTAGGTATGTGGTATTCATTGCAGTAATTTCCTACTGCTTTTCCCATAGTCTAGTGTTGAAAAAAGGTATGTTTTAATTCAAGTTCAGCAAAAAAGATAAATTACCTGTCAGATTTTGCTTCCCATATGAGTTGTAAGTAGTTATACATATTTATTTGCTCAAATTACTAAAAGTAGTTTTGGAACCAATCCAAGCTGACTTTTTTTTTCTTTCATAAATACATTTGTTTACTCCAACAAGTCTAATTTGTTCAAAAAATCGATCTCATAAAAAACATGTGTTATCTTTTACATACTGAGAGATAATTGACTTTCTGTCGCTGATCTAAAGATTTGACAGAGGTAAAAATAAAAAATATACATGCATATGAAGTCTTAAAATCGTATTGAGAGCTTTTGTTACATTTACTACATTGTCTTTATTTTGGTTTCCAAGTTAGGTACTCCAGCTTTAACATCTGATGCTTTTTGATGCAGTACAACATGCTGGCGGTGGAAAACAGAAAGGACTACGATATCGGCCGCGTCAATGTAACAGACAGAGACGACAGAGGGGCCGGAAACTGGGAGGTCAAATACTCCATTTACAATGACCCACACAGGAGCTTTTCCGTCGCTACAGACCCCGTCACCAACCAGGGAATACTCTCTGTGGTCCAGGTACGGCACCAGGGCTGATGGAGATAAATGACCACTGTCTCTGATGTTAACACAAGGCTTAGGTCCAGGGAGGCTCTGGTTAGTTTAGGTCATTACAGCTGAGGTCTGGAAGTTGTTCAAGTGCTGAGAGAGATGCACTTGTGAATGGGTGACTATGATGAAAAAATAATAGCTATTTCTGGATTCTTTCGATTATGGTGATTGAGATATTTAGGTGATAACATGGCAATCCATCATACATGTGTCAAGACGTTTTTATATAGCTGCTATAAAAGGTAAAACAAGCTTACAAGATTTTATCCTGCTCTTGACTTAAACGTCATTGGTTGAGCAGTCAGATCGACTGACCCTCAGGTTTGCAGGTGGGAATCTAGCTCCCATTGGTGTTTGCTGCTGTGTGTCCTTTGGCAAGATACTTACCGCCTCGTCCCCAGTGTCTGTGTACACTGGTGTATGAATTTGTGTGTGAGTTGGTGATTGGTTTCTTGATGTGGAGCAGTTTGAGAACCTTGAAAAAGTAGAAAAGCGCTTTATAAATGTGAATATTGACCTTTAACCATTTACCTTTTATCTATCTATTTATTTATTTTTTCGGTTCTATTTTATTGTCTTTTCCTAGTGACATTGAAGGATGGGTCAAAGGCAAATGAAAATTTCCCTTGAGGGAAAATAAAGTGTATTCTATACTTCCCATCTTCATTCAATATATAGTAGTAATAATGTAGTACAGTATAACAGTAGTTATGTAGATTTTGTTATTATTGTTACTTTTAACAGAAAATATGAAATCATTTAATATTCAAGTGACTGTCAGTCAATTTAAAACAATAAACAATATCATGAGACAAGCAGGTGAAAACATATGGACACAGACATAGTGCATTTTGAACTTTGGCGAGACCTTGATCCTGCTTTTAAACAGCTCCATCTAGTGGGGGAATAAAATCACAACATGTTTATCTATTTGGCACAGTGTCAGCCAGTGTGTTGGAATTCAGGACTTCAAGTCATATTTTGGGGATTGTCCTTGCATTTGTAAATTTCTCTAATTGTAGTTAGGTACTGTCACTTTTGTACATCATTAGGACGATCAGATAATAACACATTTTGAGATATGTTTACTTTTCTTTTTTTGTTCTGTTTTAAATCATTTGACAGATTGCCACTTCATATCAACCCTACTGTAACATGTCTCCTCTATGTGGATTGCAGCCTTTGGATTATGAAACGCAGCAGGAGTACACATTGATTCTCACAGTGGAGAACGTCAACTCCCTGAGTAATAAAGCTCCTCACGTCCCAGTGAGCTCTGCCACCGTCATGGTGACTGTCATCAACGAGAATGAGGCCCCACACTTCAGGGAAGATCCCATACGGGTTTTGGTGCCAGAGTCAGTGGCGCCTGGAACAGTGCTCACCTCCAACATTGCCTTTGATCCAGATAATTCCGAATTAAGGTGATGAAAAAATGCATTGTTTTGTTAAATTCATGAATGCATGGGGCTATTCATTTGAGTCTTCTGTTTGAAGGTTTTTCTTACTACTTTATTCCTTGTTTTGGGCTGAGAAATGAGGGTGGTCCTCTCTTTTTCTTGTTTTTCTGTCTGAAAAAGCTGATCTAAATATGTGACATGCATGTGAAAACTAGTGATGGAACCAAACTGGTTTGAAAGTGAGGAGCTAAATACAGGATTATAGATATAGGATATAGGATTTCTGTTAATAGTTATGAATATCCTTACAGTTTTATTGGAAACATTTGGTTTAGGGTCTTTGTTTTTAGCCTGGTTACTTTGCTAGTCTCCTATTAGATCTAAGGCCCAGTCTACTATATATAGCTACTGTATGTGGCTTTAAACAAATAGCCAATGTAACAAACTGCAATGGATTTGAGCTAATGTTTGTCATAGCTGCACTTGTGAACACTAAACCACCTGGACCATGTAACCAATATACTTACATATTGCCTATTATTTTAAAAGGCACCTTTTATGAATGGTATTTTTCCAGTGAAGTTGCTTGTTTCTTACACGTTGTGCTCATTATGCTGCAGGTACGAGATCAGCAGAGACCCCGAGCGCTGGCTGGACATTGATCGAGTGACAGGAGGCATCAGTGTGAGGAGAGCGTTCAACATGAGGTCTCCACATGTGAAAAACAGCATCTACACCGCAGCAGTCAAAGTCACAGGTCAGGCTCAAGAAAACACAGTGAAAAGCCCTGTCTCCAAATAATCCGACACTGAATGATGACCGAAATGTTATTTGTGCAACTTCTAACCATGAACACAGTATGGGTTTACATGTCGTTCTGTAGATTTAGTCCAATGCTAAAAAGGCCTACAGAGAGAATTCCCAACCTATTAAAATATATAATAAAAGGAAAAATACATGCATTCTTCAGATTCAAATACATAATTTATAACATTATAGCTTTTTATATCAACCCCAAAAACAAGTATAGCAGTTTTGTATTTAGGAACAATGTGTAATAATGTGCATTTCACTAAAACATTACTGTATAAAATCGACAAGTGGAAAGTTGAAACAAAGCTATCATTCTTAAAGCTGGGGTACCTAACTTTTTCCCAAATAAATAATATCGTGTTTGTGCCAACATAAAAAAGTCCTGCACATAGTAAGTAAGTAAGTAAGCTTTATTTATACAGCGCCTTTCACAGACCAAGACCACAAAGCGCTTCACAGTTATTAATAATAATAATGCATCGGTTTTAAAAAGAGGGCGACAGTAGCTCAGTTGGTAGAGCATTGGCCTTTGGGCCTGAAGGTCGTGGGTTCGAGCCCACCGTAAGACCTACTTCACGACTCCCACTGATGACTGCTGTTGTTGTGTCCTTGGGCAAGACACTTAACCCTACTTTGCCCAAAGCCCCAACTGAAAAGATCTCAGCTCCTGTGGACTCACCACCTGCAGGAGGATCAGTGAGGGGCTGGTGCTCTGTGTACTGGGTGCAGCTCTGACTGCCGCCCCCCCAACCCAGAAATGGATTAAGGGGAAGAAAATGGATGGATGGATGGATGGATGGACGGTTTTAAAAAGCGCTTTTGTGGACACTCAAAGACGCTTTACATGTGTTATTATTCTTTCACTCCATACACGGTGGTGATAAACTACTGTAGCCACAGCTGCCCTGGGGCACACTGACAGAAGCGAGGCAACCAGTATGTGCCATCGGCCCCTTCGACCATCACCAACCATTCATTCACACACCAGACTCATTCTAGGCAATGTTGGTGAAGTGTCTTGCCTGAGGACACAACAGCAGTTTGGCACTTTACAGCCGCAGCCGCCCCACTGTGGCTGGTGTTCCCAGAGGTTAAGTGTCTTGCCAAGGACACAGTGGGAGCCGATGGTGAAAGGCGGGCTCGAATCCACGACCCTCTGGCTCAAAGGCCAACGCTCTACCAACTGAGCTACTGTTGCCCTTATTATTCTTATGCTACCGTTCACGTACTTTTAAGAAGTAGCCCTAGGAGTCACTAATGCTTTGGGCTGAGAGCTTATTGGCTGAGTGAGGGTGGTCCTCTATTTTTTAATTTTCTGTCTGAAAAAAAAAAAAATACATCTACAGACAGATTTAAAATACACACTATAGAGAGTTAATTAAGCCAAATTGTTTTGGAAGTGAGGAACATGGATTTTATCACTTTTATACTGTTTTGAAAATTAGGTAACCCAGATTTAAATGCACCAAAGCAGTAATAAAACGTTTCTTTTTGTATTCAAATTTCCTTTTTATACAAATAACACCCAGATAGTAATTAGAGATCCAAAAACATTACACTGTTTGCCTTTGTACTTTTTCATATTTTATTTCGTTAAAATCAACAAAACATATTGACGTACTAACGCTTTGTGCATTTCTTTGTTTTCCCTGCGCAGATTCTGACGGAGTTTCCACAACAGCAACACTGGCCATAACTCTGAAGGAGACCAACGATTTTGCCCCCGAGCTCCACCCTCTGAGCGGCTCTGTGTGTAAGGACTCTCGCAGGAAGAACACGGGTCTGGTCCTGACGGCGACAGACCAGGACCTCCCCCCACACGCTGCTCCGTTTATATTCGAAATGTTGGAGGACATGTCAATCAACTGGACTGTCATTCAAATAAACGGTGAAAAAAACAGACTCACTATGTATTGTTTATAGAGGTGACTCGGTGTGGAAAATATTCTTGTTGTATTGTAAGCAACTTAATCATTATCTTACTGATTTAGTTGGAAAGGCACTAAAGAGAGAGATCTATCAGGACATTTGTGTTTCATTATTGTCAGAACCGTGATTTAATGAGTCTTTTCATTCTCTATTAATTTTATATTTTTAATTTTTATAAAAATCTGGGTTTTCTCAGCTACAACTTTTGTTCAAAGTTGTCCAGACTTTTTGTGCAGATTCTTTCACAATTGCAGCTAGTCCAAGTGTTGTGCCTTTCATCTGGAACAATAACACAGTTTAGCAACCACAATATTCAGGATTATCAATTCAAACCAAAAGTGATAATAATGAAAAATAATAACGCACTGGTTTTTTGGACACTTCACATGTTGTTATTCGTTAACTCTGTACACAGTGGTAATTAACTACTAATTGAGGCTACAGCTGCCCTGGGGCATACTGACAGAAGCGAGGCAACCAGTATGTGCCATCAGTCCCTCCATCACCACCTACCAGTCACACACACACCAGCTTTATTCTGGGTAATGTGGGTGAAGCCGTCCACCTGTTTCCAGAGGTTTCCCATCACAGTACCTACCTGGCCTGCCCTTATAGCTTTATACGTCTGCTGGGATCTAGCTTTCACATGTAGATGGCGCCACAAACATACAGAGTACAGAATTTGTTTTTCATGAAATATAGAGAGATGTGTCAAATTTTGGCTACATTACGTTGTTTTCATCTTGTGAGAAAACAATTCATCTTCTGCAATCTTATAAAGAGCCCTGGGAGTCACTTTTTGACGCAATGGGCAGAGAGCTTTACAGAGTTTTTTTTTTGTGGTTTGAAAGTTAGGTATCGCAGCTTTAAATATACTCAAATGAAGATCCACCGTGCTCTTGAGCGCGCTAATATTTTAACCAGTAAATATCTTCTTTTATAGGCACTCATGCTTTGCTTCAGCCGCTGGTGGACCTCGACACAGGAGACTACATGGTGTCCTTAATGGTGTCGGACTCGGGCAGCCCAGTGCTCGGTGAAACGTCCCACGTCAATGTCACGGTTTGCCGCTGCGATTCCTTTGGAGACTGCAAGTCAGAAGTGGGGGCCATCTTTGGGGCCACTATGGGAATAAACTTCATCGCTCTCATCATCATTATGGCCTGTATCGCACTTCTGCTGTGTAAGTACATGGCTGTATTTTGCGAAGACGGACTACAAGCCTTTAACTACTACCAGTGCAATTACTACTATATATATAAACGACTACCAGCACAATTACTACTAAATATATTACAGGGGTGTCCAAAGTTTTAATAAGAGGGCAACTTTAGTTCTGTAGACTTGTCCAGGGGCCGACAGCCCGTATTGTAAAACATATTTGACTGGATGCTGGCTTTAAAATGATGTCCACATTGCTTTACATAATCTACATTTAGTGCCAGCATTAAAAGATAAATGCTGATCTTGTCAAACAGAGTTAATGACTGGATTTAATAGGTCATATTGGTGGAGCTGAAGTTGGCTGGATGACCATATGAACATGTGCAGGTGGCCACATAAAATAGCCAAACCTTGGACATGTCTAATGTCCAATAGCAGGGGTCTTTTGACAAATGTATATGATATTATTTTCTAGTAGGTTTGGATAAAAATATCAACAAGAGATAAATTGGAAGACTAACAGATACAATGACATGGTTGTTTTCCCGAGACAATTGGCTTTATTATCACGAGATTATTCCATGCCATAGTAGTCCATTTACCATCCGTGCTGCAAGTTGCTGCGATAAAGGTCATTGAAAATAATTTCAGGGGCCACTGAAAAATGTCTCACCGGCCGGATTTGGCCCACGGGCCTGAGTTTGACATGCCTGATCTATAGTAAGTTTTGTTAGTAAAATGTTTGCACTTATTGTGTTGATACAGTGCTGCTCCTTCTGGCTGTGGCCATAACCTCATGTGGAAGACGGCATCACATAAAGAAAGGAGCTGGCCTGCTGGTCGGAGACTCAGAGGACGACATCAGAGACAATGTCCTCAACTACGACGAGCAAGGAGGTGGTGAGGAGGACGAGGTATGTCGTTACAATATTTCAGACTTCATTAAGATACAGTACACGCTTTTCTAAAACAGACACATTTGTTTTACGTGTAGAACGCTTTCAACATCGACATGCTGTGGAACCCCCACGACGCTCCGTCCACTCCCGGGTCGTACTGTCCCGGCCCAGGCCCAAGAGGAAAGCAGCCTCTACGAAGGGACGCACCGCACAACCTGCCCTCGCCTACATACCCCCGGAGACCCCCTGCTGATCCCACAGACATCCAGGACTATATCAATGATGTATGGCAGGCTTTTCTTTATGGGCTTTCACTCAGCTTCCAGTCAATACACTGTTTATAAACAGGCCATGATAAATTCAGATTCATTTATTTGCTATATGCAGTAAAACCACATTGGAATACGTTGACTGAATTATTTGACTTCATTGACAACACAGGGTCCATACCTGCCCACTAGGACTCCCAGTATTAAGAAAGTACTAGAACTCCCAGAGTCATTTTGACTGCTCCATGGATGTTGTTGGTTGGGGGCTTTGTTGCACCAGTGTGTCTGTTCTACATCTGAATAGTTCATTTCCAAAAACACATAAGTGCCATAAGAAATATATTTGAAATGCATACAATTTGCCTTTTACCAAGTAGTTTTTGAAAAACCAGATCTATCTTAATGCCATACAAACAAAGTTTCATCCCTCCTTGAGCAAATCCATTCAAATTTACTGCCCATAACAAAGCATATTGAAGATTGTGGCGAGAGGAACTTTTTGATACCTTTTCAAAACAGAACTGCAAAGGAACTCTTCAACAGAACAGAATGAATGAATGTTTATTTGAACATGGGGAAAAAACAGAATAAGAACAAAAAAACAATAATAAATGCAAGACAACAACAAAGACAAAAAAATGTCAACAACAAGACTCAACACTTATTCATGTTAGAAAAGAGTAGGAATAAACCAAAGCTTATTAAATCCCACCCCTTGTCCCTAGTAAGTAATCTTTATTTTTATTGCTCATTTTACAGGCAATTTTAATTCAATATATTGTAATATGTTTTAAAGAATGAATGGTGCTCCTTCCCACTTGCTTTCTTTCACCAATTCCCACAAAATAACCTGCATTTCTCTTCATCAGGGCCTGGAAGCTGCAGACAATGATCCCAACGTGCCTCCCTATGACACTGCCTTGATCTATGACTTTGAGGGGGAGGGTTCTCTGGCCGGCAGCCTCAGCTCCATCGCCTCGGGCAGTTCAGACGGAGACCAGGACTACGACTACCTCAACGACTGGGGCCCTCGGTTCAAGAAACTCGCCAATTTGTATGACCCACGCTAAGATGGAAAAGTGCTTCAAAAAGACGGACATAATCAAACACATGTATGGCTTGAATGTTTCTGTGGGAACATTTGGAGATGATGTGTTGAAGGACTGACAAAGTGGATGTGGAGATAATAATGTGCCAGTGGATTGTCATGGAGGTTTCAGTTGGAGGGTAGATTCCAATACAACTCTATGGAAAAGAAGATATTTTTAAAAGAAATGTTGAAAAAGGAAATGTCCAAATATTTTTCCAAATCATTTTAAAAGGAGCAGTATGTAAAATCTGGCAAAAAATGGTACTGCAACCTCTCCAACTCTCCCCGACTCAGGTTGCCAGATATGCAGACGGATCGAGCTGGGAACATAATATCTGAATAGACAAGTTTTGTCAAATCTATAACCAACACCATTTTCACAAAGGCCCCTGAGAGAAATCCTGGTTTTATTTGTTTTGTCAATAATGAATTGAGTGAGAACAAGACCTTTATTAGTTCTGGGATCACATGTTACTTTACCAGTGAGATTGGCTTGATGCGGTGAGTTCTGACAACACGGATCACAGACTTTCTAATTGGTGAAACAGTGGAGGGCGGGACATCGAAATGAAAACAATAGCAAGATTTAGGGGCTGTAAAACTAATTTTGAAATTTGATTATATGGGCTGAACTACTGTTATGAGTTAAAGATGTATTCAAAAAGAGCATGGTTTATTATGCCCTTTGACATACTAGGGCCATTTAATGACTTGACATGAAAATCTTACATATTGCTGCTTTAAGACACAAATTGCCATTCTCTTCTTCTTATTTCTGTCTCAAAGTACTTTCCACTGGCCAACAACATGTACTGTATGTTTTTAAAAAATATATATTTTCACCTCTTCCAGACATCTTTATGAGAAAATAATAGTTGATGGAGTGGGTCAGGAATTACAGATAGCTAGATATAACACATACAGTCATAGATGCATGTGACAGTGTTTGTGGAAATTAATACAAAAAAGGCGTATCTATCTAAACTAAAACAAGAAGTCCGACTTTTTGCCATTGTTTATCTAATTCTAATGTTACTCCGGGGCCAGCAAAAGGTTCCATGTGTTATTTGTCCACTCATATCATCCAACATGGTATAATTCTTCTCTCATAAGTGTCAAGAAGAGGTGAAAATATCCAAACAAAAGCGTGATGTTGGCCAGTAGAAAGGACTTTCAGAGACAGAATAATACGGCAGGTTTCTGATTAAAATCACACTCATATAATTATCTGGAAAAACATTTGTTATTCATTTTTCTCCAACATTTCTTTAATAAAACGTCTTCCCCATAGAGTTGTATCGGTAACTGCCCTCCAACTGCTTTTGGCTGCAGTCCAATGGTTTGATGTAAAAATGCACTCAGGAGATTAAATATTACGCAGCTGTGGAGAAAGAAGCTGTGACGTATGTTCAATCTTTATATTTTTTCCTCAGACAGATGATTCATTCAGTCTGAATTATTAAAGCTTGTTTTTTTTTTTTTTACAACCAATTTTATAAGACAGATCTGTGGTTTGATTTTACTGTTATTTGAAATCCTCCATTCCAAAGAGAGGTTGCTTTTCATTTAAAAAGATTGGTTATTGCTAATCTTTTTCTGTGCTACTTATTTGTACGGAGGAATCACTTTTTGAGTTTATTTTGTAATTCAACTGAAATAAATGCTTGGTTTTTTTTCTTGGACTTTCATTATCATGCTTAACTTATGGGTTTTATCCACACAAATTTGACAGTAGTACATACTATAATTTAAACACTGTTTGGGTCTGGCATGCACATGTGTTTGTATGTTATGATTGATGTTATGATCCTTCAACCATTATGATTCATAATGGTTGCAGGAGAGAATGGCTCAATTCTGCCAGTCTCCATCAGTGCAGTTGTGGCTACAGTAGTCGTTTACCACCCCTGCGTATGAGATGAATGAATAAAGCAACTGTCATTAAGTGACAGGCTAACAGGTTAAGCTTTAAAATGAGGTATAACATTAACATTTGACGGAGCTGAAGTTGGCTGAATGATTAATATTTACTCACCACCTACATACAATCAGAAGTAAACGTCAGTATAGTCAAACCAGACTAGATTCCAGAGTAGTGAAGTTGGACTTGACCTGCCGACCTTAGTTTGGACATTCCTCTCTATTATTTCAACCACACACACACATATATATCTTACACACACACACACATACTGTATATATTCCACGCTCACACATTTTGGCTTGTGGTTTCTCCAGTGCAATCTTACTCCTATTTGCAAGTATATGAAACCTTGTAGGCTATACAGTATTTAATATTACATGAGCTAAATTACAGTGAAGTATAATTTATCACACACAGTCACAACAATCAAAGCCTTGCGGTTGCTGTATTGTTTCCATTTCAACAGTCAGTTCATCTGAAGTTCAGATCAGTTGAGGACTGTCCTGTGGGAGTTTGCGAGGAGGTGAAGGGGGATCGTCTTCTCCGGTGTCGTGCTTGTCCCGCTCCGCCTCCACCCAGCTCTGCGGCATGATCATTTTCTTTGGGCCGTGAGGGGAAGGACCCAAAAGCACTTCGATATCATCGTAGTTCACCACCTCCCGCTCCAACAAGGCATTAGCCAACTGTACAGACAACAAGAAACAGGTAGGATGCACTTTCTGCACAGGCTGATTATGAAGCAGGCTGTTTTTTTTTACCATAGTAAGTTTGTCCCGGTTGTCCAGCAGCAACTTCTCTGTTTGCCTGTAGGCCCGAGCAATCAGAAACTTTGCCTCCTGAATATGAGAATTTATAATCATTAGTTTTACATATTTACTGCATAGGTTCTATTCTGCCTGCCACGGTGGAAATCCAACCAACTTCTAGACCAGGGGTGTCAAACCGGTTCCAGAAAGGGCCGGCGTGGCTGTGGACCTTTGGGGACCGGTTTGACACCCTTGCTCATACCAGGCATGTCAAACTCATGATTGTGGGCCAAATCCAGCCCTCAAGACAATGTTTAGTGGCCCTTAAAATAATATAAAATTATTATTTATAACTTACTGCGTCGATGGTTATGGGTTTACCAAGCCATGTCATCTATTCTCTCAGGAAAACAACCAAATTTAATTTATTCTAAAATGTTAACTCAAAGTTTAATAGTTAAATAAAAAACATTATTTGACTTGGATCATTCGCATGCTCTGATTGGCTGATTTGCGGTCTGATATTTTCCCATCTCGGACCGTTACCATGACAATTGGTCCGCAGCGCGTATCAGATTTGATATCTTTCCTCGGTAAAAAAGAAATAATGAGCGACGACTGGGAGCATTCTCCCAGTGAAGTCTATTATCCGGACGAGTTTGAAGAGCCAGAGGAAGTAATAACAGCAAATAACGACGAAAACACAAGAAGAGATTGACAACTTCGTTACTGACCAGAAAGGTAAAAACAAGATTAGTCGGACATGAAAATACTTCACAAATATGTAAAAAGCATTGTTAAAGCATTGTTAAAGACACAGACCTCGCCACGGCTCGGTCTGTACAAAAAGGCAGCGGTCTGATGTTTCTCTCGTTATAATATAAGCCGTTATTATAAACTTTATTTTTGATCCAGTTTTGGTTAAATGTAAATGTACATTTTGTTTAAAGAAAAATATCAAAATGCCTCCATGATGTAAACAACAATTATAAGTAAAGGAAATGCCTTCTTTTCTTTCGGCCCCTGACCAGTTCCTTGTCTTTTTATTCGGCCCCTGACCAATATGAGTTTGACACCCCTGCTCTATCCCATTTCTACATAACACATACATGATCCATCTGATGCTGCAGTCCTTGGCTATAGGGACGGCGACCCACAGCACCTTGCTCTTCTGTCTCTGGGAAGGACACTTGGCCCACGCTGTCACACATGCCATACTGCTTTACCATGGAGTAAGCCACACGGGTCACCTTACGCAGATCATCCTGAGCTCCTGAAAAAGACATCAAACGTGTTACATTATAAAATCTTTGCTTATCTTAAATATTTTATGAAATATTATGCAAATAATTATAATTATGAAATCATGCAACACTTGCACAATGAAATAAACGGTACCTGTGGTAACTTTGTTGAAGGTGATTGCCTCAGCTGCCCGCCCTCCCAGGGCCATGCACATGCGCTCGAACAGCTGCTCCTTTGTGAACAGAAACTGCTCACGAGGCAGGATTTGGGCAAATCCCAGAGCTGCATTTGTCCGAGGGGCAATAGAGACCTAATGTGTGAAATAAATAATAAATCCTAGAATGAATACATTTCCCCACACAGTCTTTAACAGTGAGGACGGCACCTTCATCACAGCCTCTGTGTGCTCCAGTAGCCAGCCAACTAAAGCATGTCCAGACTCATGGAAAGCAACCACTCTTCGTTCCTCCTTTGAAAGGATCTTACTCTTCTTTACACTTCCTACAAACACAATAAAATGTCAAGAATGGAATCTGATTGTATGGAGAAAACAGTCTTTACTACTTCACCTGCTATGACTCTTTCTACTGCATATTCAAAGTTCATAGTATCAATGTATTTATGTCCTTCTCTCGCAGCATGCAGTGCTGCTTCATTACAAATATTAGCAATATCTGCACCTGCAATAGTGATACATCCCAATTAATAAACTGCATTATTCAAATTGTAAGTCAAAAAGACATACCACTAAATCCTGGAGTGAGCTCAGCCAAGCGGAGAGAATAAAAACTACCCGGCTGGTTCAGTTTTAGAATTTTCAAATGCTGCTCATAAATTTCCTTTCTTTCCTGAGAACAGAGAAGACATATCTTATTCATTACACTGTGAAAAATACCAACACATGCACTTTAGTTGACATAATATACGCATCCGAATGACTTTAATTTGGTAAATCTACCTGTAGAGTGGGACGGTCAATAAAGATGTGCCTGTCCAGTCGCCCAGGTCGCATTAAAGCATTGTCCAGGATATCAGCTCTGTTGGTGGAGGCCAGTACAATCACATGATCTGTTGTTCCCATTCCTGAAAACATATGTGTGAATTAGAGTGTACATAGTTGAGAAGTAATTGTGAGTTTCAGATTTCAACATTACCATCCATTTCCACCAGTAGCTGATTGAGAGTCTGCTCCTCCTCAGTGTTGGAGAACCCGGACATGTTGGTAGAGCGCTTTTTCCCCACAGCGTCGATCTCATCGATGTACACGATGCAAGGGGCTCTGGCACGGGCCTCTTTGAACAAGCTCCTTACTCTTGCAGCCCCTAAGCCTGTGATTTAGGGAGAAATGATGCTGGTTTTAGAGATGTCACAGCAGTAGTGGCTCCATTGAATTCCCAAAAGAGGGGGCAAAGAAATCTTGATACATCTTGTTGAAAAATAATAGGTTATTATTGACATACAAATTGACCAGTACTATGTGTGTGGAACTACAGAAATTGAAGGAGCACCGCACATTTTTATCCCTACATGTCGCCACAAAGGCCTATTAATTAGTTTTAAAAAATGGCAAGGCAATATATAAATTCCCCCACTATCAGATGAAAAAAGTAATCTAATCTCTAATATGATGTATTTACAATTGTATTGTCTTTTCTAAGGAAGGGGTGAGCATTTATTTTCTCTGGGGTGCCACATTGGGATTATTGGCTATATTCTCAAAAGGCCGGACCAGTCCAGCAGTTATCATTTAATGTAATTTGGTAAAACACACGTGCAAAACATATTTTCTCAATTCTACTTCAGTTTAGACAATTCATCTGTTTACACTTACCTCCAATGACCTCCACAAACTCGGAGCCAGCCATAGCCAGGAAAGGTACCTGAGCTTCAGTAGCAACAGCTTTTGCCAGTAGAGTTTTTCCACAGCCAGGGGGCCCCAGCAGCAGGGCACCCTTGGGCACCTTAGCTCCAAGCTGTAGGTATCTGTCTGGGCTCTAACAACATGTTTTTTTTATTGTCAACTAATGCCAGTCCAAAACACCAAACATGTTGAGTTTAAGTATTTTCTTACTTTAAGGTAGTCCACAAACTCTTTCACCTCCATTTTAGCCTCATGCATTCCTGCCACATCCTTAAATTTTACACCTTTCCCTGATTTACCATCAACAATAGTAAACTTGGCCATTTTCAGTTGGTTCTGTAAAAGAATGAATGAGTATGTAAATGTACATTCAAACATAACAAAACTTTACTTTAAAAGGCGTTACTCACAAATGCGCTAAATCCACCTTCCTTGCCACCCATGCCAGCCAGACGGAAGATATACCATAGAATAGCCACACCAATCGCTGCCATCCCAAGAGCATAGAGTGCACTAAGGAATACGTTAAATATTGCTTGAATCAGACCAAAACAGATTTTGATGATAGAATAAAATAATATAAAAAGAATATACATTCTTACTTTCCAAAGAATCCAGTTCTTTTGTATGAGACTGGAATTCTATCTTTTGCATCTATATTCAACTCTTCTTCAGCAGCTCTGAGCTTCTCCTCAAACTTGTCTATATTGGCGACTTGCATTCTGTACATCAAGGCGAGCCTCTGTTCAAACATGAAATAAATTAGAAAATTAGAAAAGAAGCCAGGTTTTTGTCCAATATTTAAAGCAGCTTATTTCGGACATACGGGGCGCCCAAAAATGACAGCTCCAGGATGAAGGTAGATTTCAACAATGTCACTTTCAGGCACAACTTGAACTCGTGACACTTCCCCCTTTGCCAGCATCTCATTGACAAAATCATTCCAGGATATGTTTCCTCCGCTGGTGTTTATGGAGTTTAGCAGACTCATAATGAGTGCAATAAAAAATAAAGTTCTTAAACGTTCTCTGTACATCTGATCCTCTTGTTCTCGCCGTTTCTTGTCCTCTGAAACCAAAGAAATAAAAATATATATGGAATGTAATGTCAAAAACTTAATAATGGACAATGTGAGTTGCTTTCTCGGATCAGGAAATCCACCTTTTCATTAACTTAAAAATATAAATATTTCCATTAAAAGTGCAGTTATTAAATGCCTTAGAGTTTTCAGCCAGTGGTGGAGAATTAGATCAGACCCAGAGGAGAGGATGATTGTCATTATGTGTTCTTCAAAAAATGAAGACCACAGTGATGTGACAGAGCCTTTAGTCCAGCTGAGGAAAGCCTGCATACACACCACCAAGCCCCAGCCATCTAAGATGGTGACGTATTCACATCAATGCCCACCATTGGCACCAAATTAGCCCATCTTTGGTCATGCCTCTGGTCCTCCCAGTTCTGGATCTGACTGATCTTGCATGGAAGTCTGGCTCATGCACGTGTCTAGGGGGACATGAGAGCTGCTGATGAGAGGGGAGCATGTTGCACTAAAGTGTGGATTTATGAAGAATAAGAAAAAAGGATTCAGTATGACAAGGGACACTAACATCCCCACAAAATCCAACCTTTATGAAAGCTGCATGTTCTCTGTCAGCTGAGGTAAAGTTATTTGTTTAGTTAACTTCAGTTTAGCATTGAGTTCTATGGGGAACATTTCTGAATGTATTCACCATGGGTGTTTCAGCTATAAGCTAGTTATACCCTATCCAGTTGTTATAATAGATCCATGCTCACCACTCTCAAACCGTCAGCACTCAGATGGTGCTGTGGTAAGGCCTTAATTGGAGTGGTATACTCATCTGACTTTGGATTACAATTTAAGTTTCAAGAATAATTGAGGCAATGAAATTTTATTTTTGATGTATAATTTGATTAATTCAGTCTAAACTTATACCTTCATCCTCTTCAGGGGTTCTGCCCTTTGGAGCGTTTGTCTTTTTCTTCTCATGTCTTGATTTTGAGGTATTGAAAAAATAAGTGGACCCTATAACAAATGACAAAACATTTTTGATGAATAAAAAAATAAAAAACAACAACACATAGACCTAGAAATTGTTTACCTAACATGTTGATCAATCCAACAGGGTTTCTCAGTAAATTATCTTTAATCAGATTTGTGCTGATTACGTTCAATCTTGGACTCAGTGGTCGAAACAGTAGACTCTAGCAGAAAATACAAAACAGAGGTCAAATTCATACATTATATTATTGTAATCAATTAGTACCATACACATACCAACGCCAAGTGTTAAATTATAAGCAAGTGCATTACTGAAGAGTTTCCGTTTAATAAGACACATTTTAATTACCTCAATAAAGTGAAGGTTTTGACTTGAAAGCAGCCGCTCAGACTTTGACTGCAGAGTCTTAGGGAGTTTATTGTGACTACTAAACAAGATGTTATTGGCATTGTTGCATGATGCCTTCCTCAGGGCTTGATGGAAGTGTCGTCCAGCCAAAGTCCACATGAAGCATCTACGGTACTGACGGTACAGTCCAGTGCGGCATAGCAAAACAGATGCCATGATAATAATAAGTGGTATTTAGCAGTCAGACGATAGTAGCATGGCGTATTAGCCTTATAAGCTAGCCTTGTCCTTTTAGCTAGTAACACAGGAATAACAATATATGTATCGTCAACGTGGAGCTACTCACGGCACTCTGCAGAGAAAACGTTAAATAGACTTTGTGTAATATTACATCCAAGCGTTTCTTAAATTGCAGAGAACAGTTTTCATAAGAGCTCACGGGACCCTGGTTTCAAAACATTATCTTCTTTGAATTTAGAATGAAAGGGTGACAAGAGACGATGAAGATTACTTTCGCCCCCTGGTGTCATGGCATGGAAAGACAACAACAACAACGATAATATAATATAATTGTTGTTTCTTTCAATGTATGTATATTTTTTATTTGAACAATCGCGTCCAATTGTTGTCTCTAATGAACCACGATTTGCGTATGTCCTTAATTATAGCTATACGTTGTATCTCTACAATGTTAAGATCATGACTTAGTACGAATGATTATACTTATTATTATTATTTACAATTCATTTTGTATTAACAACTAATGTTTTTGATTCATTTCCTTTAGCGTTTTGAACACCGTGCAATGAATGTGCTGGTCTAATGCTGTCAGCAGATGGCACTAAAAATCCATGAATTTGGCTAGGTTAACCTCTACTGTTATTGGTTTGGAATTTACTATGCAATTTAATGTTATTAAGTGGAAAGGTGTGTTTATTTTAATTTCGAGAGATATTTTAAACGGTAGTTTTTTGTTCTTGCTATCAATTTATGGCTGAAAGGCAGGTGTATTTATATAGCACAGTTCATACACAAGGCAACTCAGAATGCTTCTCAACACTAGAAAGGAAACGATAAATGCATAAATATTCACATTAAAGATGATGAAGATACAGCCCTTCAATTGTATGCAAAACGAACCAGATTTATTTTTAACCTGCATACTTTTCGCAATGCATACTGGGAATACATGACAGATAAAAAAAATCCGACAAAACTATTACTGATTCAACAAATATACTACTAATACTTATCATGACAATACATTTTTTTTGTAATGTATTTTTGTTTTAATCAAAACACATAACCCCTCAGCTTGTGAAACTACGCCCCGTCGTCAGCCACGTTGGATCTGTGAGCTTACTGCACAGAATTGATTTAGCTCCGTTGTGGAACCAAAATGGCGCCAGTTTCCAACCAAAGCAAAGACAGAACCGCCCTAGGATAGTCAGCCAATTGCAGCACTCGTTTTAGTTACGCCGTGCTTTCGTCATCGCGTCCACACACGAAGCCAAAGGCCGCTCTGATGGGTTGACGGAGGATTACATCGAAACAAAATATTGTATTTTGACGAAATGCGCTTGATCATGCAAGGCCTCAGTTGGTCGAATGGACTTCTAAATACTTTTACTTATTGGTGAAGATGCATATATTCATCTAAAAGCGAGCTTTCTGTGGATATTTCTGTTTTTACCACGGTCGTCTGCTTGGTGCGCTAGCCTCTGTTGCAGCAGCACCAAGCAGCTTTGGAGCCGCGATGGTCGACTTTATGCGGATGTCTTTACGAAGTCTATGTGGAACCGAAGGCAACAAATGGGAACATCCAGCATTGGCCGAATGCATTGCGGCATAGATTAAATATTTTGTTGTCTTTTATTTGGGGGAAGCAAAAAGGTAAGCTGAAAATATGGTTCTCCAAAGCTAACAACAAACCGTACTGCTTGTTTGGTTTTTGCTTGAGGCTGGACGCTAATATGTTGCGTCAAAGGTCAGCCTAGCCAAGAACTTATGTATTTATTATCAGTAATGCGAATTGCAATACCTCCGTGCCATATGCAAAATGCTTGTTGCAAAATATTCTCGTATAGTATTATTTTGTACCATTTTGAAGTCTCTCACTCATGAGTTATAAACACATCTTTCTCTTTTTGGGGGAGGGCACGTTTTGGCACTAAGTCAGTTTTTTATTGTTTTGAATATGCATGTATTGAGTGACACGTTTTCCATTTGTATTTTGGATTGTAAATTCTTTCAGGAATCCGACACAAACTGAAGTTGTGCTATTTTTGACTAGATCAACAAGAAGCAGTATTGCAGCAGTTTTAATTTGTTCGTTGCAGAATTGTTTGGAGTTAAAATTTCAATCATATTTTTCCGTAACATCTTTCTAGAAGGGACTATGCATACATGATGCCTGTGTTTTGAAGAAACTTCTATAATGTATGAAACAGAAGCAGCATGGAGAAAGGGGATGTGGCAGAAATGGAGATCGGTGAAGATGCTCTGCTGTGGTGCAGTAGTGATGTTCTGAAAACACTGCAGTGCTGCTGGTGCTGTTTCTTCTAAGAGTATGTTGAGTTTGTTGGGCGTTCTTGTTGACTACACTGCAGAGGCTCTGGTGCGTAGAAAGACAGGCACAGCTTTGGATTCTCAATTCTGCTCCTAACGTACTCTACGATTCCTAATAGTACAGTATTTCTATGTGCCGTTTGATACGTACACTCGCTGTGCTGCTTTAGATGTTTGTCTCCACTCATTTTGAAGAGGCACTGTAAGGCTTTTATTTGGTCTTAATTTTGACAAAATGGACCGATCCCCAATTCAATTACGTAACGCACTGTAACCTGCCATACACTTTTAATGCTCATAACTAGGGTAACAAGACTGGACAGTTGATTGAAGAGGGAAAAATCTCAAACTATGGACGCAGCTGATCGACATGAGGGTCAGTCTAAAAACTACTGATGCAGAGCACTGCAGCAGAGGCACATCTGTCATGACTCTGCAAATTAAATTTTCACCAACTATATTCACTATGTGTTCAAAACTAAATCCATTCCATTCATCAGATTCACAAAAAATTGCTTGTTTTGAATTTCTTCAGTATAAAGTGGGTTGTTGATTATAAACATGATTGTGCAACACCTGTTTTGTCACTTCCCTTAATGCTACTGACAAGAAACTAATATCACAGACCGCTCACCACAATGATCAAGGGAAGAGATGCCATTGCCATGGCCATAACTAATACACAGGACTGTCTATACTACTTACTATACTACAAAAGCGTGTCCTTTAAGAATCTTTTTTCTGCAGTTAAAGCACAAGTTGTTGACTATAGGCTGTTTAATGTGTTCTCCTCTTTCCAATAACATTTAACAATTCAAATCTGGAATGCTTGAGGCATGAGCCATACATTTTTTATCCATTTTGCAGTGTGACACTGTGCTTATATTTTTTTATGGATTTATTCCCGGCTTGTACAATAGCAAGTTATGTGTTACTGTATTTTGTGTTTCCTTCTATCCATCGGTTCAAATTAGATGAACTCCTAAGTGCATATACTAATGAAATCCCCTCATCACACCAAATTCAAAGATGTGCTAAAATCTTTTTTATTTAGTTAAAATGTTTATTCCAGGCAGCTGGTTAAATACATAAAATGGGCTAACTAATTCATAACCTTAGCTTTTGGTTAACACTTAATCTGATTCGTATTTACTGATGCTGTCTAGGGTTACCACGATTCAAAAATTTTGAGTCACAATTATTGTGAGAGAGAATATTGCGATTTTACGATTAATCTCAATTATCAACATTATGAAAGAAAATCAACTCAGATTGTTTTTTTTTGCTGGAAAACAATAAATGGATAAATTAAGATTATCATATAATATTTTACATTATTTTATTGTATGTATTACATTTAAAGTAGTAAGTAATCTTTATTTATATAATGCCTTTTCACTGCACATCGGAGTCTCAAAGTGGTTTACAATAGTTTTTTTTTAGGGCATTTGTCTCTCACTCCACACAGAGATGGGAGCGGGTTGCCAGTACAGGAGGCGTATGCCAGACCTATTGTAAATATTTTTAGTGGTAGGGGAAACCGGAGAGCCCGGAGGAAACCTACGCAGACACGGGGAGAACATGCAAACTCCACTCAGAAAGATTCAGATTCAGTTTATTTGCCATTTGCAGTAAAAAAGTCTCCAGTGTGCACAGACAAATACAGACATAAAACAACATTAAAAGACAAAAATAAAACAAATAAAACAGTAAACAAATGTCACTGTGAAATCGATCGACTAAAACAGTTTCAAAACAAGTGCAAATCATTAAAGTGCTCTGTTCACACTGATAACAGCTTGTGGATAAAAACTGTTAGCGTAACGAGATGTCCTGCATCTCAGAGAGCGATATCTTCTGCCAGAGGGAAGAAGCTGGAACATGGCTTTCCCAGGGTGGCCAGAAGTCATTGACAATCCTAAGAGAAAGCAAAGGACTCAAAATACATCCCTGAGGAGAACCAGTGCTCACAGAAACAACATCAGAAAAACAGTCATTGATTTTCACTCTCTGAGATCTGTCAGTTAAAAAGCTAAAAATCCATTTACACATGGCAACACTTAAACCCAGAGACATGAGCTTTTCAATCAGTTTACCTGGGACAAGGCAGAGAAAGGCCCTGGTCCGACCGGGATTCGAACCCAGAACCTTCTTGCTGAGAGGCAAGAGTGCTGCCCGTGCTGCCCAAATATGTATATTAAAATATACATATTTCTAAATTGCTGAACTTCATAGATATTCAAGTATAAAAATTAGGGCCGGGACTTTAACACGTTAAGATTAATTAACGGCACAATAATTAGCGCGTAAAAAAAAATTGACATTTTAATTGTATATGTGTTTTTGCACCGCGGAAGCTTCCTCGCTGGATAAGTTTCAGACGGACCGATTATACTGGTGCACCAACTCGAGCTCCGTGCATGGCTTCGTGACTTTTTTTGTTCAGAAGTGTCTAATCCCAGTGAGTTAGAGACGGGAATGAGCGCTGTGTGTGGAGCGATGGACTCTGTGTGTAAAGCCTGGTTCACACGGCAGGATATTTAAGCCGATTTAGACCCGATTTACCCCTTACGACAATCTTAAGAAACGCTCCGATTTCCGTAACAAAATCTTACAGATTATCCTGCCGTGTGTGGTGTGTTAAGACTGCACTCGTCGCTCGGAAGGACATCGGGACTGCTCCCGATCTCAAATCGGGGATATCCAACATGTTGGATTGTTTTGGCCCGATTTCTCTTCGTGTGTGGTGTCGTGTGGTGTCGTGTGTGTGTGTGGTGACAGACGTGCGCGTTGCCATGACTGCGGCGTGTAGCCAATCAGAAGACGAGACGAGGCGGTGAGGAAACGCCTCCATATCACGATGTAGCAAGTATAGTCCATGCTCGTGTTGTCTACACTTCTTTGACCATCGCCTTTTCTTTTGATTGCGTCTTTTCTCCGATAAAAACAAACTATTGCCAATGCATCCTCTTCGTCCGCCATGTGTGTTTACTCTGAAGTCACGCTTGATCTCGCGAGACCTGAGATTTCCGTCTGAACTGTTCTCAGGTCAAATATTTGTATGCGATTAAAATGCGATTAATTAATTACAAAGCCTCTAATTAATTAGATTAATTTTTTTAATCGAGTCCCCACCCTAGTAAAAATGGTCATATAAAAAATAAATTCAGGAATGTATATAGCCTAATTGTTTTGTAGTAGTAGCCATCTTCATAGTTGTAGTATAGGTGTTATGTCTACATTTCTTTTGTTGACGAAGGATACGTGTGTACTGTCCCTTTCAGAGCGTCTCCCAGCACATGTGCAATGGTTTTTGCCGGTGAGACTTTCACTTTCATATTTGCAGAATCGTTTTCATTAATGTGCACCTGGGACAATTTTGGCGCTTATTTCTGAACATTTGGGATACTTTGTTGACAATTAAGCCATTTTTTTTCCTTGACTTGAACATAAAGTTTATTTATTTTTTTAAAGGTGTACCTACATCATTATCATTGTATTGGATGAAAATGATCTCAGAACAAGAATATTATCGCCTATTGCAATAATGTCTTGGACAATTTATTGTCCAGCAAACTTTGTTATCATGACAGGCCTAGCCAGGTCATCTGGCCCAGCACCCACCACTCTCCTTACTGGTCAAATAGCCCTTACACAGCCTGGGTGTAAATCTACAGTCAATAGTCATGAAAAGAAAGGAAACTCATTGAATGAGAAAGTGTGTACAAACTTTTGGTCTGAACTGTATGGGCTTGTTCACACTAAAGGGCACAAAAGTGTGACAAAAGGCCAAAAATCAGATTTTAATAATCAGAAGATATTTTATGTTTTTCATGTTTCCAAATACCTCCTCTGTTCATTAGAAGTTGCTAGAACATAACTGTTTTATACATTAGACAAGTTTCCTATAGCGGCCCTGTTTATTTTATGTAAGGGACGTGATGATTTGACGGAATGAGCTTTGTGGAAGTTTGATAGGTATTTTCAGATGTCCACATTTGATTCAGAGATTCTATTTTTTTTACACAGAGTAGATGCAAAGTGATACTTTCATATTGTCAATTAAATTGAAAACAGACCAGATTTTTTTTTCTCAAGTTTAATTTTTAGAGAAAAGAGGAACGTCCTCATCACGTCCGTTATACATTTTTCAGGGGTCATTTAATTAATTAATTTTTTTTTTTATTTTTTTACGATTCCTTTTTAAATCAAGTGATTCCCCTCTGTTGTGTTAACCATGTAAATGTTGTGGGATTTCATCTTCTGCTTTTTCAGACTGAGGTCATTTTATTTTCTATGTAACTGGCGTCACAGTAGAATGGTCCAATCAGAGGCTGATTTGGTCGTTTAAAATGTTGCTAAACATTTTTATGTCAATCTTTTCTTTTGATTTTTGCCACACTATCTCTTCAATGTGTCTGTGTTTGAAATCTTTTTTTCCAATCTATGAAAGTAATTTTAGTTTTTAAGTTATAACCTTTTAAAGTCCAGATACTCCAATTGTCACTTTACTGTGAACACAGTCATGTACAGTCTAAGGTCCCTGTACTTCATATTTACAGTCTATGGTCCCTGTACTTCATATTTACAGTCTAAGGTCCCTGTACTTCATATTTACAGTCTAAGGTCCCTGTGTTCCATTTTTACAGTCTATGGTCCCTGTACTTCATATTTACAGTCTATGGTCCCTGTACTTCATATTTACAGTCTATGGTCCCTGTACTTCATATTTACAGTCTATGGTCCCTGTACTTCAAATTTACAGTCTATGGTCCCTGTACTTCATATTTACAGTCTATGGTCCCTGTACTTCATATTTACAGTCTAAGGTCCCTGTACTTCATATTTACAGTCTATGGTCCCTGTACTTCATATTTACAGTCTAAGGTCCCTGTGTTCCATTTTTACAGTCTATGGTCCCTGTACTTCATATTTACAGTCTATGGTCCCTGTACTTCATATTTACAGTCTATGGTCCCTGTACTTCATATTTACAGTCTATGGTCCCTGTACTTCATATTTACAGTCTATGGTCCCTGTACTTCATATTTACAGTCTATGGTCCCTGTACTTCATATTTACAGTCTATGGTCCCCGTACTTCATATTTACAGTCTATGGTCCCTGTACTTCATATTTACAGTCTATGGTCCCTGTACTTCATATTTACAGTCTATGGTCCCTGTACTTCATATTTACAGTCTATGGTCCCTGTACTTCAAATTTACAGTCTATGGTCCCTGTACTTCATATTTACAGTCTATGGTCCCTGTACTTCATATTTACAGTCTATGGTCCCTGTACTTCATATTTACAGTCTATGGTCCCTGTACTTCATATTTACAGTCTATGGTCCCTGTACTTCATATTTACAGTCTATGGTCCCTGTACTTCATATTTACAGTCTATGGTGCCTGTCCTTCGTATCCGTAGTAACAGAGACATAGCCACTTTGGTGACAATGGCTCAGTTCGTAGAGCCTCAAAGCATGAAGGTCGTGGGTTCGAGCCCACCACAGGACCTTCTCAACCAACTCCCACTGATGTCTGCTGTTGTTGTGTCCTTGGGCAAGACACTTAACCAGGTGCCACAGTGGGGCGGCTGTCAAGTGCCAAACTGCCATTGTGTCCTGAGGAAAGACACTTTGTCCCCATTTCCTAGAATGAGTCTGGTGTGTTGCTAGAGGCAGACGTGTTGCTAAGACGGTTGCTAAGGCAAGTTGGAGATTTCCCTGTAAATGAAAGTATTTGAGAGATCAATACTAATGTGGCTCATATCTCGTGTGAACGTTGCTGAGGAGTTTAATTTTACATGGAAGTCAAAAGAAGCCAGAGAGAGGAGTCAAACTTCACCACGAGCACTTCCCTATTGGGCTTCATTGAGCTTGTGGGTTTGCGTATCTGTGTACAGTCTATGACTCCAAGCTGTCATAGATGAAGGGAGGGCCACACGCTATTGAGAACTGAGGGATGGAAACTACTTTGAACAGAGAAAAGACCTTTTTGTGACATCAGGTGCCTGAGAGTGTGCCGTGAGTGTAGTGTTACCGGTCCACGAGGCCTTCAGGCTCCACTCGTAGAAGAAGATGAGTTTCCCTTTGCGGTTGTTGATGGAAGCTTCGCCGTCACATTTAGTAACTTCTGTGATTTCACACGTCCCATCTTCACCCTCCACAGTGACACCCACAAGGAGAGACTTTAACTTCTCTGAGGACCAGGGAGTGGCATCCCGCTCAGTCCTACACACACACAGAGACACACAGAGACAGACACACATGACTGTATTAGATCCAGGAACTACTGACATACATTTTATTTCAGAGTTCTATTGTTTATGATATGAGAGTTAGGTACCCAGGATAAACCAATCTCCACATGCAGAAACACTTTAACCATTTAAAACATTGGACTTCAAGACACGTGTTGTAGTGACAGAAGTCGCTTCCATTCAGTCTGGAGCTAGCACAGCGCTAACACACCGACGTCTCTCCCTCTCTGCTCTCTGCTCTCTCTCCCTCTCTGCTCTCTGCTCTCTCTGCTCTCTCCCTCTCTGCTCTCTCTCCCTCTCTGCTCTCTCCCTCTCTGCTCTCTCCCTCTCTGCTCTCTCCCTCTCTGCTCTCTCCCTCTCTGCTCTCTCCCTCTCTGCTCTCTCCCTCTCTGCTCTCTCCCTCTCTGCTCTCCTCTCCCTCTCTGCTCTCTCCCTCTCTGCTCTCTGCTCTCTCTGCTCTCTCTCCCTCTCTGCTCTCTCTCCCTCTCTGCTCTCTCTCCCTCTCTGCTCTCTCTGCTCTCTGCTCTCTCTCCCTCTCTGCTCTCTCTCCCTCTCTGCTCTCTCTCCCTCTCTGCTCTCTCTGCTCTCTGCTCTCTCTCCCTCTCTGCTCTCTCTTCCTCTCTGCTCTCTCTGCTCTCTGCTCTCTCCCTCTCTGCTCTCTCTCCCTCTCTGCTCTCTCCCTCTCTGCTCTCTCTCCCTCTCTGCTCTCTCTCCCTCTCTGCTCTCTCTCCCTCTCTGCTCTCTCTTCCTCTCTGCTCTCTCTGCTCTCTGCTCTCTCCCTCTCTGCTCTCTCTCCCTCTCTGCTCTCTCTCCCTCTCTGCTCTCTCTCCCTCTCTGCTCTCTCTCCCTCTGTGCTCTCTCTCTCTCTGCTCTCTCCCTCTCTGCTCTCTCCCTCTCTGCTCTCTCCCTCTCTGCTCTCTCTCCCTCTCTGCTCTCTCCCTCTCTGCTCTCTCCCTAGTCTCTCTCCCTGGTCTCTCTCCCTAGTCTCTCTCCCTGGTCTCTCTCCCTAGTCTCTCTCCCTGGTCTCTCTCCCTGGTCTCTCTCCCTCTGGTCTCTCCACACACAGACGTCACACTGTCTGCAGATATAAACTCTTCACATGTGAGCTGTGATTAAAGCAAAGTGAACGCTGTAACCCACAGACAGAGCGTTAGCTTTAGCCGCGGAGCTAACTCACCAGTGCCAGTTGTTGACGTTAGTCGCGTCCGCCCGCTCCTCCACGATCCAGCGCGGGTCTCCTTCGCCCCACTTGGCCATTCCTGGTCTGTGTCTGTGTTCGGCTGGGTTCAGATGGTGTACAGATGTGGTTTAGATGTGGTTCGGATCCAGTCCTGATGCCGGGGTTTCGTTCACGCTTCTAGAATCCTCCGTTTGTGATGAAAAGCGTCCGGGCGGAAACAAGGCGGGGTAAGCAAGGTTCCGGGAGGTTCCTGGAGGTTCCAGAAGATTCTGGTTCTATAGTTCTTTGTGTCTTTGAGTCTATGGTTATATATGGTTATATGAGTTTATGGGTCTGGGAGGCTCTATGGGTCTGGAAGGGTATATGGGTCTCCACCCTAGACAGTAAATCTCCACTATTTTTAATAAAGGTCACTGTGCAAAGGCCGGAAGCAGACACGTTTGGAGTAAATCTAAAGTAACACAAACGCCTGTTTCTGTTCCTTTTGTAATTACACAACAGCGTTCATGAACAAATAAGACCAGAATATAACCCAGAATAATGTTTCTGTGAAATGGACCGTGGCACATCCAGCTTATAGCACTATTCTAACATTAAAATATAAATGATCCATGAGGCAGATCAGAGAACACATTAGCTGTTCTCCTCTGATGTTGCTAGGTAACTGTCAAGCTAACTCCCGCTACAGACGCTAAAGCGGAAGCAGCGGTTCTAAATTAAAGTGTAACTCGAAAAACCGGCATTAAAGTAATAGAGTGAGCGTTTTCAAAATAGAACTGCACTGATGGTTATCTACACAGTCTGTGGTGAACGTGTGGAAGTCATTGGCTCATCAGCCCTTGATCATGTAGTTATGTGTAGGATCTACATGAGCACGCGTTTGAGCAGTGGGAGGGGTTGGCTGTCGTTTAGCAGGGGTCCATCTTTGTAGTTCTCACTGCGGAAACGGAAATACACTGTGGAATTCTAACGAGATTTTCCATGAGATAAACGCAGCTTTAGAGCCTGTCTGAAACACGGCTTTATGCTCATTCCTAAAAGCGTATTAATCATACCGAGGAAATGTCCTTGTCTGTGACTCCCTGTTACTTATATGGAAATAAAAAAGATTCTGATTCTGATAATATTTTAAATAGATGGACAATGACGACTCGTACACACCTCTGTCAGGAGAGGCTCGCGTCACGCGTGGCTTCTGGTGCTGACATGTAATACATGTCGTGATCTCTGTGTCACATGTATGTGTTTGTCCTCATGGTCTCTGTGGGCTGCTCTGGTCAGACGCAAGACTTTTTGAAAGAAAAACAACGATGTCCAGAATCACAGTGCTCCTCCTGCTAATGTTTAGATAAAGTGCTATGTGTGTGAAGCTGACCCAGAGCCAAGGGAGCCTGCAAGAGCCGACGGGGAGCCTGCAAGAGCCGACGGGGAGCCTGCAAGAGCCGACGGGGAGCCTGCAAGAGCCGACTGGGAGCCTGCTTGAACCGACTGGGAGCCTCCTTGAACCGACTGGGAGCCTGCTTGAGCCGACTGGGAGCCTGCAAGAGCCGACTGGGAGCCTGCTTGAACCGACTGGGAGCCTGTTTGAGCCGACTGGGAGCCTGCTTGAGCCGACGGGGAGCCTGCAGGAGCCGACTGGGAGCCTGCTTGAACCGACTGGGAGCCTGCTTGAGCCGACTGGGAGCTTGCAAAAGCCGACTGGGAGCCTGCTTGAGCCAACGGGGATCCTGCGGGAGCCGACGGGGATCCTGCGGGAGCCGATGGGGATCCTGCGGGAGCCGACAGAGAGCCTGTGGGAGCCGATGGGGATCCTGCGGGAGCCGATGGGGATCCTGCGGGAGCCGACAGAGAGCCTGTGGGAGCCGATGGGGATCCTGCGGGAGCCGACAGAGAGCCTGTGGGAGCCGATGGGGATCCTGCGGGAGCCGACAGAGAGCCTGTGGGAGCTGACTGGGAGCGAGCAAGCTCACCTCTGTGGACCCATGTCATACTGCTGTACATGTTAGAAGTATGTAAGATAAGATTAGATGGAGAAATGTGCATGTCACATTTGGCATCTAGAATCACTCAGATTGTGCAACAGAAAGACGTGTGAAACATGTTAAAGGTTAAAATGTATATTCTGTGCAGGATATAATTATGTACAGTAAAAAAGTGGCAATAGGTGTGCAGGTTTGTCAGTCCTTGTGCATTAGTGACTTAAAGTGGCTTATTGTACAGTCTGACAGCGGTGAGGATAAAGGCCCTGCTCCTTCTTGTACTGTTGCCTCAGTCCAGGAGCCTCCTGTCCCTCACCTCCTCCACAGAGTCAGCCTCCTAAGAAGGTGGAGGCAACTTTGGCCCTTCTGATACAGGGTGTTGGTGTTAAGGGACCAGTCCAGTTTATTGTTAATGTGAGCACCCAGGTACCTGAAGCTCCATCCGCTGTCCCTCTGGCACTCTGTCTGAATCCGGAGAAACGTCTCGGACATTGGTGTATTGTAAGTCCAGAGTCTCATTCTCCTGCGTGGGACACGCAGAGGCGTCCCGTGCCAACAGGCAAGGCAGGCAGCTGCCTGAAGTACTCACAATTTTCTATGTACCAGGCAGGCCCCAGGCCCCAGGCCTATCCATTCATTGTTAAAAATAAGAAATTATCTACATTTAATTTATGTTAATGTAAACAAGTAAAAGATATTGCATTTTATCTTATCATCAAGTATATATTTATATATGCTTGCAGAAGAAAAAATGGAGAAAGAGGCACTCTGAGAACTGTGTTCTTTTTAATGACCGGAGTCTTCGTCAGGGCAGTGAGTGTCGCAGCTGACACTGTGCTGATTTTAAGGCGTCATACACCATGTGACCATCAATATGTACAACATATAAAGATGAAAATAAAATAAAATAAATAAATAAAATAATATAACAGAGCAACAAAATAAGTCAGAAGTATGTGTATAAATGACAACATACCCTCCTAACCCAAAACAGGTAGACAGAAGAGATAACTGTTATGAATAGGTGAGATTGTTTGCTGGGAGAAGTATGGTAACTTGAGCACTATCCTCTCCTCCTTCCTACTTTATCTGTTTAGCATTTTTAGGATTTTGACTGCAGTTTGTTCATTGCTATTCACCCGTTGTCCCATTGTCTGTTTCATGGTACGATGACGGGATCTCTGAGCCTGGCCTCCTCCATCTACACCTGCGGACTGCCCCGCCCGACCCGCCTGGGAGTGCTTCGGTCCTGCACCGGACCTGTCCACGTTCAGCGGCCACTGGTCCACGTTCTGTAGCTAGCTTAGGTCCTGGATCATTAGCCTGTCCGTCCGGAGGAGCGGATCCCTTTCTCATATGGGTCTCCTTCCCTGTGGGTTTCCCTAGTTCTCCCCAAGGTTTCTCACTTTTTCCCACTGGGTTTTTTAAGAGTTTTTCCTTGTCGATGCAGGAGGGTCTTGTTGGACAGTTAGTGTCCAACAGAAAGGATTGGTGATGATCAGGACACTTTAGCATTCTACAACATGTATGGACATTTTCTTCTGTGTGTGCTTTATATTTTTCATGTGTTTTAACTGTTGATTCTCTGACCTGTGTTGGTGATTTCAATGGTTTTGTTAAGTCTCTGAGATGACTTCTGTTGTGACCTAGGGCTATACAAGAATACATTATTTAACGAAAGAATCCAGTGCTGTAGAGTCTCTGGTATTGTGGGGAGGTTATAGGAATGGCAAGAGGTCCATCTCCTCATTGATTCCAGGATAACGGGTCGCTCTTAGAGCATGGATCCAGTAAGTCTCTCTTTGGAGTAGTCTTTTTAAACGGTCTCCCCGTCTGGGGTCCTGTGGGACTACTTCAATCACCATCGCTTTTAAAGAGTCCGGTGTGCTGTGACCCACTGATTTGTAATGTCTCGCCATGGAGTACAAGTCATTATTTGTCCTATTGGCGCATTTGTGTTCAGCCAGTCTATCTCTGAACTTTCTTTTTGTGCGTCCAATGTAGAAGCAGTCACATTCGCTTTTGAGTCTGTAGACAACGTGGTTAGTGTTACAGTTGGCGAAGCTCCTGCACTTGAAGAGTTTTTGTGTGTAAACATCCATAAATGTATTAGTTCTTTTGACGTTATCACTGTGGTTGCAGTTGCCGCACCTATGCATTCCCGTCCTCTTGGCGAGCCAAGTTTCTTTTTTAGGAGTGGTGAGGTGGCTCCGGACCAGACGATCCCTCAAGGTTGGTGCTCTCCTAAATGAAAAATAGGCAAGTCAGTAAGAGCAGGCTGGAGCGTGGGGTCACTCAGCAGGATGTCCCAGTTGTTTTTAATAATGCGCTTTATCTTATGGCTGAGAATTGTAAGGACATGAAAGTCCTTTGGGACGTTTGCGGTCTCAGGCGTTCATTGAGAAGGGTCTTGAGATCCAATGTTTTTACTTTGGTGAGGGCCTCATCCAAGACTAGTTTGTTGTATCGTCTTGATTGAAAACGATTATACATCTCAGTGGCTTGAGAATCAAAGTCAGAGTTATCATCACATATTCTCTTCAATCGCTGGAACTGACCGTATGGAATGTTAGTGATTAACGGTTTAAGGTGAAAGCTTTCTGCGCGTCGCCCTAAACATGTCCATGTCACCTTTGCCTGTATGTTTGATCACAATCTCACCTATTCATAACAGTTATCTCTTCTGTCTACCTGTTTTGGTTTAGGAGGGTATGTTGTCATTTATACACATACTTCTGACTTATTTTGTTGCTCTGTTATATTATTTTATTTATTTATTTTATTTTCATCTTTATATGTTGTACATATTGATGGTCACATAGTGTATGACGCCTTAAAATCAGCACAGTGTCAGCTGCGACACTCACTGCTCTGACGAAGACTCCGGTCATTAAAAAGAACACAGTTCTCAGAGTGCCTCTTTCTCCATTTTTTCTTCTGCAAGCAGTTTCCTCAAACCCTTGAGTGGGATGAGCACCTGTTAGTGTTTTTACTTCTGTTCATCCAGTGCAGCACTCCTGCAACCCCTTCACTCATATATTTATATGTATTTGATAATAAGTAGGAATATATTTATACCTACTGCTATATAAATGTGTTATGTTATATAAATAAAGCTTACTTACTTACTTACTTACTTACTTACTGTAATATAAACCTTTTTATGTGGTCGGTATCGGGCCCCCAAGGACTTTGTTGCTTGGGGCCCCGGGGTACCCTTGGAACGCCACTGGGGACACGTGACATTCTGCGTGAGTGTGGGGAGAGTAGCGGAGAGGAAAGCAGCATGTTAGCAGCATGTGATACTACCGTACATGTTAGCAGCATGTGATACTACCGTACATGTTAGCAGCATGTGATACTACCGTACATGTTAGCAGCATGTGATACTACCGTACATGTTAGCAGCATGTGATACTACTGTACATGTTGGCAGCATGTGATACTACTGTACATGTTGTGGCGTGAGAAAGTATCACAATAATATATACATATATTATATATATATATATAATATATAATATAAATATACCTATATATAAATATATATATATATATGATAGTATAAATACATTTATTAATGTAGTTTCAAAAGATTTAGCTTTTTTCCGACTCTGAACTGATACAAACTCGACTCATGTCTGGTGTTGGACTGCTTATAATAGACATATGAGTACCCACAAACACACTGAGACCCAAACACACAGTGAGGACCAAAAAACACTGTGGAGGGATCACAAAACACACTGTGAGCTTGACGCGATGTAAATATGTGAATGACACAAGATTATTGCCAAACTCTTTTTGACGTATTGTTTTGAGAAACCTTTTTTAGTCTCACATTATTTTTGGTTGTTTTATTACCTTTCCTGTGTGGGAGTGGTATATTTTTTGTATTATTCTATTGAAGGTTTATAATAATACATTGCTTTCTTTTTGAAAGCCACAAGTGTCAGCTCTCAAATTCTTTTGAGACTTTGTTTCTATCTGCTACCGAGGCCGAGATATCAGTCAATTAGTAGACGTTGAATTTCAGGAAAACTTCAGGTTTTGGAGGTGGTTCTGAAGTCGGCCGTAGGTTTTACAGGTCTGTTTTACCAGCTGTGTCAAGCCTTAATGAGTTAACGCAATAATTTTGACAGCCCGAGTTTTAACATTTCAGAATATCACACAATGTGCTGGGCTATGTGCTCATGATGATTGCAGGCCTTAATTTCTCAGTCAAATCAGAATCAGAATCAGAATCAGAATCATTTTTATTGCCACGTGAGTAACAAAGTTATCACTTGGAAATTGTTTTGGCAGAGAGCGTGCCACTTCGCCATTTGCGGCGCTGTGTGCAGCAAGAAACAGCAGAGAGCAATAACATACAGTTCACAAACAATTGGATAGACACATTGTGCTTTTTATAAACCACGGATTTTTTTCTCGGGAAGAGCACCTCTTCGGCCGGCCCAATGTAGCTGTCAGAGGGGGGCGGGATCAGGGAGGGGGTGAGTAGGAAAACAATAAGGAATGGAGGGGAGGGAGGGAGCAAGATGGATAGGTAGAGGGAGGCGGGGGTGGGGGATCCTTGCTGAAGACTGAAATAGTGTGAGTTGTTGTAGATTGTGGGACCTTGTTTATGGCCTTGGCTGAGGAATGTGAGATAAGAGTGGAGAGAGAAGCCACAGGAGGAGAAAAACACATCGCCTGCAATGTCGCAGTCAAAATCAGGCAGATATTCTATTAATTCCAATTAAACCGAATTCCGGTGCCCTCAGACCTCCGTACACAGGGGCAAATCCAAGCCGGGTCAGAGAGATCAAGCCTGACAAACAATGTCATTCAATCTCAATTCTAAGGTCTTATGTCCATCAAGTGAACGAGCTGCGAGGTCTTTGATCAACTGTTCCACCAACACCACTCTCCGTTGTCCAGACACGGCACTCTCAACCACGACACGGCTAAGCTCCTTGTACATCCCATCAATTTTATCGGCCAGCAGGTCGTGAATCTTGCGAACTGCCA